AAATACTTTGAAGTGTTTTCAGCCCCTGAGATGGAGCCGGAGCAATAGCCTGCCGTCCCACTGTAGAATCTGCAGCATCAGTGGCAGCCTCAGCTGAGAACGGCCTTCCCCGTTCTCCCGTTGACTGGCCCTGACGTCCACATGCTGTACGGGCAGGAGTATCAGATGAAGGGAAATGAGTGGCAGTTCCTGCCCTGCAGCACCCAGTGAGGCTGAAGATTGAGTGGTCACAGGCCCTGGCTGCGTCACGTGGGTTTATCGTTTCACTGTGTGACCTGGGGCGGATAATCATATCATTTTTGTTGTTTTGTTTTTGTTATTTCTGAGGGAAAGGGTGAGAGGAGGTGATGGAGTTAACATATGTTAGAGTCTTTGAAAAATGATCCCGAGGGATATATGTGTGCTATAGTGTCACAGAGAGCCAGGATGATGATCTCCAGGCCTTTGAAGTCTATTGCCCCCAGGAGGGATGTTGGCAAAGCTCTGGCTGATGGTGAACTTGATAGCCCAGCTTTGTGAGGGCAAAGCATGAGGCCCTCGGTGGTGCTTTGTCTGACACCTGAGATCTGGGTGTCTGTCTCTGACACCTGCTGTAGGAGAAGCGGGCCCTGGCAGCTGGTGCTCTGGAAGGAGAGTTCAGCCAGAAGCAGGAGGAATCACTTGACCGGGGACGAGTGACAAGTGCCAGTCATTCAATCAGCACATTCTTCAGCTCCAATTCCCCACCCCCCCGGGAGGGGGGCTAAGCAAGGACTGGGTACCCACTGGCAGGATTAATGCAGATGCAGAGATGGGAAAGATCCAAGCAAAGGGCCCAGTGCCTAACATAGAGTGTTTGCCTAGTGAACACTGGCAGGGCTGTGGGGAGGTGATAGAGGACCACAAAGTCCGTGGAGCAGAGAGGATACATCTGTTGCTATGCTACCACCAAGTCCTTGCCTCCCTGTCGGCTTAAGCAGAGGGGAGAGTCAGAGCTACTGACTCTTAACAGTTCACACAATTCAAAAGAATTTGGGATTTCTGTCCCCCGACTCTCAAACCCAAACCCCTAATTCAGGAACTGTTAGGAGGAGGGGACTCATATCAAGCAGCTTGTGAGTCAGACACATATAATCACTGCTCACAGCAGGCCTGGTGGATGGAGAAGGCCTGGTGGATGTTCTGATGAAGAAAGCAAGGTTAAAGAGATAGAGTGACTTACTCAAGCTGTTACAGCTGGAAGGGGCATGTATACTTGGACCTGTCACTCAAAGCCCGAAGACTACACTGTTGACCATCCAAATCTCATATCTCAGAACCGTGTAGACATACCTGTGACCTGCAGGTGAGGGCCTGGTTAGGTTTAATTTTACTGAGTTTCCTGTCTTTTCCTCAATAGAACTATCCTTGGCCACAGAGAGAGTCTTCAGTTAAAAAGGAATAGAACTGGTGTCAATGACAGTTCTTCACTTAGTATAGACCTGAGTTCAGTTCTGAGTACAGCCAGGAAGCCAGGGGTTTAGAGCTAATAAGTGGATTAAGGCAGCCAGTCAATGCTCGATTAAAAGAAGAGACATCAAGAGCATTGTAGCCAAATTCGCCCAACAGGACTCCTCTAAAAAAAGGGGGTTGGGGCTGGAAAGATGGCTCAGTAATTTAGAGCAGTTGCTGTGCAATCATGGAAACCAGCGTTCAGATCCCAGGACCCATGTAATAAGCTGGACACCCTGCACATGTGCAGGGGGACTGAGAAGGAGCATGGCTGGGGCTTACTGGCTTTCGGTCTAGATAAGAAAACATGAACCTCGGGTTCATGGAGAGACCTGTCCTCAGAGGGAGTAGGTATAGAGTGAATGAAGGGCATTCCCAGTGCCTTCTGGTCTCCATGATGCATAACACACACAGACACACACACACACACACACACACACACACACACACACACACACACACACACACAGTGTGAGGGGCTCATTTTTTGAGATTTTTTTTTTAAAGTATGTGTCTGTTCATGTGCCCTTGGAGGCCAGAAGTCCTCATAACTGTAAGTGTGACTGCATCTCTGTGTAGTAACCTGCTGCAGGCCACAGGAATATATCATAAGAACTCAGCTGGTTATGGCAAAGTCACTACCTAGAGGGATTAGGGAATTCCTCCAGAGGAAGCCAAATCCCAAGGAGTTTTTGGTGTTACTTGGCTTGTTATATATCAGCTGTATTCTGTTATGAAAATCATGTGTGCCTTCATAGTTTTCCCAATTGACTTTTCCCTAAGAAGGACTAACAGTGTGGACTGATCACCCTCTGAACATACACATTCCAGGTATTTGGAGAACAGCCTCGGGGAAAGGCTTTCTCTGGAATCAAATTATCTCCCTTAGCCACTTTCAAGGACTACAGGAAACACCGCCCAGGTGGGCCCCAACTTCCGAGGACTAACAATGATAACAGTCCACATGCAAGTCTCCTGACTTATGGTAAATTCCACAAGGAGACACCGCCTGGGAGATGTGGACATTAAGTAATAGCTTTACACAATTTAGCTCGGACCCTCCCTTTATATACCAGGACTTCCAGGGCACAAAGTGGGAGAAGAGAAAAGAGAATGGAAGAACTAGATGGGTAAGAACTTGAGAGGAACAAACTGAGATGGGGAAGAACTAGATTGAAGGGCTAGAAGAGAGGACTAGAGGAACGAGATGGAAGATGAGGAAGAGCCAGATGGGGAAGAACAAGATGAGGAAGAGCCAGATGGGGAAGAACAAGATGAGGAAGAGCCAGATGAGAGAGAAGGAGATGGGAGAGGAGCTGATAGGGGAAAGAACTAGATAGATGAGAACCTAGAAGGGACAGAGCTAGATGAAGGAATTAAGATAGAACCTAGAGGGGGCAGTAGATAAATATAGAGAAATCAGGCAAGAAAGGAGCTAGACATGAGAGCAGAATAGAAGCTGTGCAGAGAGAGAACTATCACAGAATAATAAAGTGTATGAACTAAGGAGTCTCATGTACATAGATTCATTTCTTTTCATCAAAGATTAATTATCAGCTGGTTGTAGATTCTTCCCGGACCCTGGGAGGGGGACTATCGAGGGGCTGGACCCCCCAAGTCCCCGATAGTAACCCAAGGCCCAGATCCATAGCTAAAATCTCTGACTCCAGGACTCCTCTAAGCTCTGCTAAAGAGTGGCCACGGGAGAGCGTAAATGATGACAGACATTGGCTTGGAAGGGCTATCTTCTCTAATCTTGGGTGACAAATATATCCGTGGCTCAGAACTCCAAGCTCCTCTTTCCCCTTCTGTAAGTTGAGAATGATGGCCTCTGACCTGACTCCAGCATCTTTAAAGGCTCACATGATGCCACGCCTCTGAGATGCTTTCTCAACACAAGCCCCGTAAGAAAAGTCCAGTCCCCCAGGGCATGCTCCAGTCTGTGACTCCGTGCCCACCCCTCCAAGCATCAGCACTTAAGGCACGAGGTGAGGTCTACCTTCTGTGTGGTCCACTACTTGTACTCTGTGACTGTTTTTGTTTTGCTGGGACTTGGTCTTGCTGTGTATCCCAGGCTGGTTTAATCCTGCCTTAGTTCCCTTAGACTTTTGATGTGTTCTAGGCATCTGCCACCACACTTAGCTGTTTATTCTGGTTTTATTTAGTTAGCTATGTCCCTGTTGGTGCTCACATAGGGATCCCGTGACACTTCTGCCTTCTGCCAACTGTTGATTCCCAAGGGGGAGGGGGATGACTGCCAAACTCCTTTTACGTGGAGTTTTTTTTCCCAAGTGGTGCATCCACCCTACTCCTCCTGAGAGTGCCTGTGTTGTGCCTGCATGAACTCCAAGCCGAGATGCAGCCCAGCCCCACCAGGGCAATCTTAATGAAGCAGCCCACTCCGGTTCTCAGCTTAGCCTTGTTCCTGTTCGTTCTGTGACTCTAGAGCAGTCATTTCATCAGCCTTGGTCCCCATTTTATTTTGTATTTTTTTTTTCCTCTGAGACAGGGTTTCTCTGTGTAGCCCTGGCTGTCCTGGAACTCACTCCGTAGACCAGGCTGGCCTTGAACTCAGAGATTCACTTGTCTCTGCCTCCTGAGTGTTGGGACTAAAGGCGTGGACCGGTAGCACCGGCCTGGCTTTAAGGACTTTTGTTGTTGTTGTTGTTGTTTTTCCCATTTTTTGGACCTGGAGTGAGGATGGAGTGAACTTAAGAACTGGTCTGATGGTTCGCAGCTCTGATTTATGGCCTACAGTGTTGTAGGTTCACTTATTTGAAGCCCGGCTGATCTCTTCATTGTTGAGAAGGCATGGCTTCCAGTGAGTCACAGACTGACCTGGGCCCTGACTCTTCCTGCCTCACCCCCTTGCAGCCCCTCACCTCTGCCTCTTCGTTTGTGAGCATGCTTGCTTGCACATCAGCAGTTTCCTGTCCCCTCCCTCCCACCATGGTCTGTCTTTTGGTCTCCTCAGATGCATGTGAGCTAACCTGTTCCAGAGCACACGTCCGTGAGTCACAGATAGCCTTCAGATCAGATCAGGGCTAGCTAGTCCTGTAAGTTTGCTTGACAAAAACCAAGTCCCTGGTTCACTCTTTCCTGCCCCCTTCAACTCTAGTTCTATCCAGCAATCCCATGGTTAATGACCAGAGAGAAGTGTGCCCTTTACCCCCTCCCCATCCCTGGCTGCTGCCCTGGAAATGGCCTTTGCCACCATTTCTTGACTGGGCCTCTTGTGAGAAATCACTCACTCTGTGCAATTGGGTAAGAATCATGCTGTAGTAGGTCCCCACAGTGTGTGACAGTAGCTGAGTTCACCAGGCAGTTTCTTCTCTGAGGTCTTTCCCACTCTCTGCCCTGTGGACTATGGCTAAATTTGCATCTGCCCCTGCCTCGCCCACTTCATGCCTACCTTGTGAGGTGGGGTGAGGAGAAGAGAAGCAATTCCCTCTCATCTCTGCCTCCCTAACCTTACAGACTTACAGGCTCCTGAATTTAGTTGACCTTGTTTTTCTCTTTCCCTTTCCTAGGATACGGCAGCTGGAGAGAACTGGCCAAGGCCCTGGCCAACAGGAACATCCCCGCTGTTGATCCAAATCTCCAATTCTATCATCCCCAGAGGCTGAGCCTCAAGGTATGCGGCAGGTCCAACCTTCCTTCCAGCCTCCTGCTGCTGGATCAGCCGGACCTTCAATTACCCTCAGTTGCTCCATGGCCTTAAGGGAAATCTTCTCTGTGGTATATGCAGAGGGGAGAGAGCTGGGAGAACCCCAGTCTAGCCTCTAAGAAGTTCTAGATGATCACAGCTATCTATTTGCCTCCCTCAAAGCCAGTGGTCCTCAACCTTCCTCATGCTGAGACCCTTTAATACAGTTAGTTCCTCATGTCGTGGTGACCCCAGCCATAAAATTATTTTGTTGCTACTTCATAACTGTAATTTTGCTACTTTTACGAATCGTATTGTGAATGTCTGATATCTGCTATGTGACCCTTGTGAAAGGGTCATTCCATCCCCAGGGATTGTGACCTACAGGTTGAGAACCATTGCTCAAAGCCTCAGTGGGCCTAGTTGTCTTGTTTCTGCTTTTACAACATTGTCTAAACTATCTGTGAGCTGTTTCAGGCATGTGGCCCCCATCTCAAGACAACACATCCTAAAAGCTAGGCTTAGAGGTAGAGCCTTTGCCTAGCTTATGTGAGGTTCTGGATTTCATATTTCATCCCTCTCTTTCTTCCTCTCCCTCTCTCTCTCCCTCTCCTTCTCCCTCTCCCTCTCCCTCTCCCTCTCCCTCTCCCTCTCTCTCTCTCTCTCTCTCTCTCTCTCTCTCTCTCTCTCTCTCTCTCTCTCTCACACACACACACACACACACACACACACACACAGAGCGTTTTCTGCCTATTAACCAGCATATCTATCTTGGAGACAGGACTGTATCTGATGAATAGCCGGAGGTGGTAAAGTAAACCAGTGCACTTCCCTGCAAACAGTTAGGGTGTAGTTTGTCATGGAACATTTCCTTATAGTGCTATCAGGTGGTAGATTAGGGAAACTAAGGGCCATTCCAGTTTGGAATCCCACCCCTGCAACAGTTGAGCCAAAAACAGACATGGATCCTCAAATCCAGGCAAGACCAAAGTAAATCTATAGACATGTATATCGTAGCGAGGACTTGGGGTGTCTTTGTCTCCTGTTTGTTGAGACCAGTGACAAATCTAGATAGCACTTGGGGTAGGGGGTGTTGGAAGAATAAGAAGTCACAGTTCCTGTCCCAAGTGGGTCCAGGGTCAGTTTTTTTTTTCTCATGGAGCAGGTTGAAGAAATTCAGGGATGTAAACAGACCTCAGGAGTGCATGTTGACAAGCCTGAGATATTCTTGGGGATATGATGTAAATAATGAATGAAAGAATCTCTCTCTATTTTTTAAAAAAGTTATTTATTATACAGCGTTCTGTCTGCATGTATTTCTGCAGGCCAGAAGAAGGCACCAGATTTCATTACAGATGGTTGTGAGCCACCATGTGGTTGCTGGGAATTGAACTCAGGACCTCTGGAAGAATAGCCAGTGCTCTTAACCTCTGAGCCATCTCTCCAGCCCCCTGAATGCTGACAAGGTTCCTCAGAGCAGGGACTGTGTCCCAGGACCCCCTACTTCCCCAGGAGCATCTTCAAGGAGCCCCGAATGCTGTCCTATCTCCAATTTTTTTTTTTTTTTTTTTTTTTTTGGTTTTTCGAGACAGGGTTTCTCTGTGTAGCTTTGTGCCTTTTCCTGGAACTCACTTGGTAGTCCAGGCTGGCCTCGAACTCACAGAGATCTGCCTGGCTCTGCCTCCCGAGTACCTGGGATTAAAGGCGTGTGCCACCACCGCCCGGCCGATCTCCAATTTTTAGCAATGTACTCACCAAGTTCATTCTTTGTTCTGATAGGACCAAGAAATTTCCCAAAGTAGGAGTAGGAACAGTAGCTACCTAAAGTGGAACAAGCCCGTCCCATGGCTTTCTGAGGTAAGGAACTCTACTGATCCTGGTCTTTCAAGAAGCTTAAACCGATGAAACACAGAGATCTCAGAAAACTCTCTTGTGATTATTGCTGTACTAAAATGTTTCCCTCTAGGCTCATTAGATTTTTCTCCATTAGAGAGCACAAGCATTTGCTCCATTAGAGAGCACAAGCATTTGCTGCAGGCCTGGTGGGTGCCGAGCTCTGCATATCAACTCACTACAGCTATCTTGCTCCTGTAAGGTAGTGTCACTGCGTTAACTCAGCTTTCTGTCACGATAGCAAATGCCTGGCACAGTGGACTCCAGTTTGGCTCACAGTTTCAGGGATTTTCGGTCATGGTTCTTTGGGCCTGTTGCTTTGGGCCTTTGTAGCCCAGCACATCGAGGTAGAGCTAGAGGAGGATTATCCTAGCTTCAGGATGCCTGGAATAAATAAAGAGGGGAAGGGGCCGGCCCTAATACCCCTCCAACAGCAGGACCTGTTTCCTTTAGGCTCTATCTCTTAAAGTTTCCACCTATCCACAATAACACTGCACCCTGTGGGCATTTCAGGGGCGTTGTAGATCCAAACAGTAACAGTTATTATGCTTATTTTATAGGTGGGAAAGCAGTATCTGGGGAAGTTACATGACTTTCACGGCCTTGCCAATCCCAAGTCTTAAAGATAACAACTTCCCCAGGAGTGCTCTCTCAAACCATGAAGTTCTATAAGATATTCCAGGAAGAAAGGAATTCATTGTTAAATAAACTTTAAAAAAAAAAAAAACCAAACAAACTAAAAACCCACTTTGCAGGACAACTGTTCTTGGAAATTCACATTAGCATATGAAAGATTCTGAGAAGTCCTGGGGAAATCTGTTTAGCCTGGTTTAGCTCAGCATGTCCCAAATTTATTTGCCCCTGAATTACCTTTTCCGTGAGTGCCTGTTAATATTCTGAACTACCAATGTTCTAAAGGAACATGCATTAGGAATCTGCTTCAGAAAGCAGTTATTATGGGACCAAAAATCACAACCAGGTGTACTGGCACAGCCGAGCAATCACTTGAGCCTGCACAGAAAAGAAGCAGCCTGTCTCTTTACAAAATCCCAGCCATCATGATGCTATTTACTAATAGGCATTGATAGTATTTTCTTTCTTTTCTTTTTTTTGGTGAGCATGTACAAGTTACCTTGAGTACATGCTTGTATCAGAACTGTGGAATAGCGCAGTGCTTTGGGGAATCATATTTTACAGTGTGTTTAGAACCCAGGGTCTCCCTCTTGGAGCCTGTGGTAGAGACTACTTCTCTTAGCTGTGCGGTGTGGGCCGGTCTATTGTCTTTATTGTTCCTATTACAGATAGATCTTGCAGCTTGGGTGGTTTTGTTTACAACCCACCCACTCAAGGGCAAGAGAAAAAGAGACAGTGTTAGCTCCTCTGCTCTATGAGACTGCCTCTTTTTAAAGCCCAAAGTGAGGATGGATTACAGTGCTGGCATAGTTGTTCTAGGTGACATCATCAGGCAGTGGAGATAGTATGCTGAGTCTTGCTTTAAAGATCGGTTGGTCCTGGTGATCTAGCCTTCTCTCTAAGGGCAGCTTGGTTCATTTTTCTTTTCTGTCTTTTTTTTTTTTTTTTTTTTTTGAGACAGGGTTTCTCTGTGTAACAACTCTGGCTGTCTTGGAACTCACTCTGTAGACCAGGCTGGCCTTGAACTCATAGAAATCCATCAGCCTCTGCCTCCCGAGTGCTGGGACTAAAGGTGTGTGCCACCATCCCCGACTTGTTTATTTTTGAGACAAGGCTGGCTTTGAACTCACTGTATAGTTGAGAATGACTTTGAACTCCTCCTAATCCTGTGCCTTCACCTCCCAAGTGCTAGGATTACAGGCGTGTGCCTCCACCTTTAGCCATGTTCTCATTTGTGTTCGTTCTCTCTCTCTCTCTCTCTCTCTCTCTCTCTCTCTCTCTCTCTCTCTCTCTCTCTCTCATTTTGGGGATAGGGTCTCTCAGGCTAGCCTGAAATTTATGACCCTCCAGCCACAGCTTCCTGAATGCTGAGATTATAGGCATGTGCCATCACCATATCTGTCCTGGAATTGACTTTTTTTTTTTTTTTTTTTTTTGAGAAAAAGAGGTCTTAGCTGGCCTGGAACTCACAGAGCCAGGCTCTGTCTACCGAGCACTGCGTTTAATGGCATGTGCCACCACACCTGGCCAGGATTGACCTTTTTAAAGAAATAATTGGTATCTTAGTACATTTGTGTGACCTTTTAGTGGTAAAATGACTGAATTCCATGGATTTCATCTTTAAACATTAAAAGATTTAAAATCCTCAATCTCTATAGACCTTTAGGGAATCTTTGATTTCCCAAGGAGATGAGTAGCATCCACTCCAGCCCAGCTTCCTGTCCCTCCCATTATGGGGACTTCTGTGTGCCCAGCTCAGTGGCTCTCAGATTAGGGTACTCACCCCTTTGTAGTCAGTGTGTCCGAGAAGTTGCAGAGTTAGTGGAGAGCCTTGTCCTAAGTGAACAAGGACTAAAAGTCGAGACATTTCTTTGTTTCCCGATCTCAGGCTTTGCCTGTCTGCTCTGAGGCCAGAGTCATTTGAAGAGGCAGCAGCCTTAGCTGCTGTCCTTGGTGTGAGAGAGGACTAAGCGGATTGGACAGCTGGGTGCATGGAGTAGCTGTCTTAAAACTTCCATGTCCGCTAGCAAACTCCAGTGCCAGCCAGTTCATCTGTTGGTCGGTGTGCAGGTCTGTTGGTACACTCTGTCTACCTGGTCTACCCCCAAAACAAAAATAATTACAAGCGAGAAGCTTGGTGAACATGGCTGACCTAAGCAAGTCACAGTGTTCATGTTACTATACAACTTCGGTAGGCGATGCTTCTCGCCTGTGGATAGGCCTGGGCCATAGACTCAAGGTTTTTGATGTATTTTTGTTTCCAGGACTTAATCCAGAGCCCCACACATTGATTCAGGATTTTTTGTCTTTTTTTTTTTCCCCTGTTCCTTTGTTTTCGGTTTTTGAGACATGAAGCCTAAAGCCGCTTAGAGCTTATATATTAGCTCAAGATAACCTAGAACCCACGGCGATTCCTCAGGGTTGTAGGCTTGTATCACCGCACTCAGCTTGTTACTATTTCTGGGGGAGGGGGGTCGGCGGGGGCAGAAGACAACTTTCAGGAATCAGTTCTCACCTTCCACCTTATAGAGGCAGGGTCTCTTGTTTCTGCTGCACAGTGTGTTCTAGGCTAGCTCTGGGCGATTCTCCCATCTCACAGTAGGACTGCTGGGATTGCAGACTTGGTCCACCGCACCCAGCTTTTTATGTGGTTGAAGATGGAGCTCAGGGTGTTGGATTGTGGGGCAAGCACTTTACCACTAAAGCATCTCCCTGGCCCTTGTCACTGCAGGTGGATTGCTCTGGGTTTGAGAATAGCCTAGGCTACATGTTGAGCCCTCGTCTCAAAAACAAAACCGAACAACAGAAATGTCATTGAGATCTAGTTCATGTTCCTTACAAGTCACTCACAGTGTGCAATCCAGTAGCTTTCGGTATATGAATAGAGTTGTGCGTCATCAGGACTTTCTGACTCAGTCACTCAGTGGTAGAGCATTTGCTTGAAATTTGTGAGGCCTTAGATACAATTCATAGTGCCACTAAATAAATAAATAAGGAAACCAGGGCTGGGGATATAGATTGGTTGATAGAGTACTTGCCTAGCATGGACAGAGCTCCTGGGTTCAGTCTGCAGCACTGTATAAACTGTCCCTCTGTCCCTCTGCAACAGCTCCAGACACAGGTGACACCATTTTACACTTCTCAAGTCTTGGTCTTTGATTTGAGCTCTGTGTGTGTGTGTGTGTGTGTGTGTGTGTGTGTGTGTGTGTGTGTGTGTGTGTGTCTGTCTGTCTGTCTGTCTGTCTGTCTCCCTCTCTCTCCCTCCCCCTCCGTCTTCTCCCCAGGGAAGTGCTGTACACTGAGCTGCACTCCACCCTCCTTAATCTTTCGCATTCACCGGTAGGAAGCACTCGGGCAGAATGTATTGCTCTGAATTCAGCTTCTACAAGCATCTGTTCATTCAGATAATTCAGATTCGCGGGGACACAGGGGAAGGAGCTCTTAGCTCTTCCCAGGGCAGACACAGAGGGCCTCACAAGTGTCTGAGAAAACTTTTGAAGAATAAATAGGAGCCTGCCATGTAGGGAAATAAAAACAGGGCTTGATCAGGAACCAATATTTGGGAAAGCGTGGGAAGTCGAGAGTTGGATGGTTTTGGGCAAAGGCTGGAAGTTAGATGTGGGTAGGTAGGGCAGGGAGGGTGTGGTGTGTGGTGAGGGCTGGGCAGGCAGGTCAGTCGTAAAGATCACAGTGAGGTTTTATTCTGCAGCCACCTCAGGGTTTCAGCCACAGAGTGACTTGCTCTGTCACACCAGCTGAGCTGCTTCAGAACAGTCCTGAAGGCCATAAGGGGACTCAGTGCAGGAGAGACACTGTCATGCTGTGAGGCCGACAGAGGTGGGGTGTTGGAAGGGCTGGCAGTGGGGCAGGCCTTACTCTATTAAATACTCCCTTTGCCCCTCCATCTCCACAGGGTAATTGCTGTGTGTTCTCAGAGAGTCACTTCCTGAGCCCCGATATCCTCCCTTCTAAAAGACAATCCAGTAGGTACATTTTCCACTACAGCTAACTGCAGGTTCCAGACCATCCCAACTAAAGCTTGGAGGAAGCTCTCCCCTTCCTGGCCTTCTGCCTATGCTAGAAAGGGAGAGGGGCCGCAGCCGAGGCTGGTGTGCCAGAGTGCCACATCCTTGCTAGTTCAAAGTCCCTAAAATGGGGTTGGGGATTTAGCTCAGTGGTAGAGCGCTTGCCTAGCAAGCACAAGGCCCTGGGTTCGGTCCTCAGCTAAAAAAAAAGAAAAAACAACAAAGTCCCTAAAATGGAGTAACACAAATTCTGGTGTAGTTGTCAATCTGGGTCTGGGGAGGAAGACAGTGTCTGCAGGTCTCCAAGACACCCCCACAGCCAGAGGTTGGGGACAAAGGTCTGAGACTCAGCCAAATGCTGGGTGAGGTCTACCCCAAAGAAAGGGTTAATTCTCTCATTCACTGTTGGTCTGCCCTGCTGGCTCTCCATAGCACCTCAGGCTGCCATGGCCAAGCTAGATAGCCTGGGGAGAAGCTGTGAGGGGGTGGTGTCTACCTGCCCTCAGGCCAAAGCTGCTTTCCTGCCAAGCCCATTCTCATGCTGAGGTTGGCGTCCTAGCTCCAGGCTTCACAGGAACACCTCCGTGGTGGCTGTGTTCACCCTCTAGTCCCCTGCTCTTCCGGGGACCAGAGCTCTCTGACCTGGAGGTCTCCTGGGGAGGGCCAAGAGGCAGACCACTTGGAGGAGACAACTGAATCTTTTCAGCTGGACTTGAGGAATTTCCTCAAGCAGCATAATGCCCCCATTCTTCTCTTCCTCGAAGTCGCAACCCGCCTCCCACCTACCAGCCCACACATTTTCTCACCCCCCCCAGCCCCCCACTTGCATTCCAGTGAGTGATGGCTACTTCCCAAGGTCCTCCATACCAAGTGCTGACCCAGCTAATGCACTTAAGGGTTAGAGAGTGACAAGCTGGGCTCTGTCTTCAGGGTCCAGAGTGGGACAGTGTCCGTGAAGCCTAGCCTGTCATTGCAGCCTGACTTAGACCCTCAGCATGCCTGTAGAGCACTTCCCCCGTGCCTACACCCCTTTCAAAAAAGGATTGTGTGTGTGTGGGGGTGTACATGTGTGCTGGTGCCTGACAACCTCTGGTGTCAACCACCTTGAGTTTTGAGATAAGATCTCATTGGCCTGGGGCTCGCCCATTTAGGACTGGCCTGGCCAGAGAGCTCTAGGGGGCCTCCTGTCTCTCCCCTGCCTGTGTTAGAATTCCAGTGACTTCTGGGGATGGAGCTCAGGCCCTTGTGCCTGTGTGGAAAGCACTATATTAACTGAGCCATCCTCCCAACACCCCATCCTGCATCACTGCACAGAGGACCCAGAAGGAGTCCTTCAGTCTGGGTGCCTCTTCCAACCACTCCTGCCCACTTTTTTCTTAAGAGTGACTCAGATTTTGGATCTGACAAGCTCCAGTTGGGGGTAGGGAGCAGGGCAGGACCTGTTTGTGTGTGTGGATGGGGCACCACGTGGAGTGTGCTCAGCTCTGGTAAACGGCTGTGAAAGGAACTGGATGGGAGTAATGTGGAACTGTGGGTCAGCTGGGACCATATCCCCGCTTCTCTTCCCTTCCTAAACAGGGTCCCTCCACTCGCCTGGAGTGTGGCTGCCTTCTGCGAGAGCCTCTGCTCCAGGCCTAGGCCTGCCCCCCTCCGATGCCACAGCAGAGAGGGACAGAGAAAGGGCAGACACTTCTGCTTCTGCCAATGTAGTGCTGCCAAGAGCCTGTGGGCTGCAGGAGGCCCCTGGTGCTGCACAGCCTGGGGGGGGGGGGGGAGGCAGAGACCTCCATAGTCTTCCTCAGTTGCTTCCCCCAGCCAGAGTGTGAAGACCACTGTGTAGATAAGACTTCCTGACAGGCAGAATGCTGCAGGGCCTTCCATGAGGAGCAGGGGAGGCGTGGTGGGCAAGCCCTTGGCTGGAACCTAGCCAAGGCCCTCCTACTTCCCCCTGCCACCTCTGCCATTTTGCCACGGCTGTTATGCCCCTCTCCCGCGCCTGCGGGATACAAGGCAGCTCCCTTCCTGCCTGGAAGGAATGAGGAGTGTGTTGTGTGTATGTGTAGGCATGTGTGCATATATGACCCCATCCTTAGAGTCAGGCCACGGGGCTGGTGGTAGCTTTCCCTCGGGACACACGTGCCTGAGATACCCAACTCACAAAGAGGAAAGGATCGCTTTGGCTCACGGTTCCAGAGGTTTAATCCTAGGCTCGCTTGGCCCAGCTGCTTTGGGCTTCTGGCACTTAGTACATCATGGTGGCAAAGGACTAGAAAATCAAATAAGACAGAAAGTAGCTGGGATCCCAATATCCCCTTCAGGGGCACATCCCAGTGACCTAATTGTCCCCTGCAATGTCTCCACCTCCTAAAGTTTCCACCATCTCCCAGTAGCACCCCACACAGGCTGGGAGCCCAGCCTTCCATAGACTATGCAAGAAGCACTGCCCATCTGCTTGCTCTGCCCTGGAACTCCCCTCGCAGGGCAGAGTACAGGCTGCTCGGCTCACTCACTGTCCCTTCTCTGCTCCGCACAGTTCCGGGGCCATGCCAACCTGCATGTGTTTGAAGACTGGTGTGGCAGCTCCATCCAACAGCTCAGGAGGAACCTGCACTTCCCGCTGTACCCCCATGTAAGTGCCTGTGGGGGTGTCTGCTCACCATCCCCAGATCATCTGTGTCTCCTCCATCTCATCCTCCCCATGCCTCCTTCCCGGCCCCTTCTCAGTCCATTACAGTCTATATCATTCCCCTGTTCTCTCGGGCCCCGCCCCCTCTTCCTCTCTTGAGAGTATCTTTCTTGTCTTCTCCTTCCTAAGCCTCTCGCCACCTGCCGTTCTATAGCGTTTCTGTTTAGGCTCTCTTGGTATTTATCCAGGGCCAGCCTGTACAGATGTTCAAGTTGTGCATCATGCAGGGTCGCCTGGACCAAGAGCTGAGTGGGACCTGACACTTGAATGCCACACACCACGCCACACCCCTAGTCTCTTATCTCCTGTTCCCCTCCTGGTCTTCCCACCAGCCCTGAGAGGCTCAAACTCAAATTCCTTAAATTCTTCTTCCTGCTGGGCGGTGGTGGTGCACGCCTTTAATCCCAGCACTCGGGAGGCAGAGGCAGGCGGATCTCTGTGAGTTTGAGGCTAGCCTGGTCTACAGAGTGAGTTCCAGGAAAGGCACAAAGCTACACAGAGAAACCCTGTCTCGAAAAACAAAAAACAAAAAACAAAAAAACCCAAAATTCTTCTTCCTGATTCTGAGTAACAACAGTTCATCTTTCTCGACATAGATCCGTACAACCCTGAGGAAGCTGGCTGTGTCCCCCAAGTGGACCAACTATGGTCTCCGCATATTTGGCTACCTGCACCCTTTTACCGATGGTGAGGCAGCCCCAAAGCCTCATCCTTCTTCCTGCTCTTGAGTTCTTCAGGGAGGTCCTGGAAACACGCCCGAACTAGGAAATACACCTGCAGTGAGCCCCTGTTAGCCCATCATCAAGGGAGAGGGCTTCATATTGCTACCCCAGAATGTAGAGGTTCCCCATCCCCCATGTAAAGGTGGGAGGCAGTAAGGCACTATAAGTGAAGGGAATTAATGCCCAGGCATAATGTAGACTTTCAGCCCTGGTGCCAAGGCCCTCCTTGACCCAGATACTCTGCCGTTGCCCAGGGAAGATCCAGTTTGCCATCGCTGCAGATGACAACGCCGAATTCTGGCTGAGTCGTGATGACCAGGTCTCAGGCCTTCAGCTGCTGGCCAGTGTGGGCAAGGTAGGGTCAGCTTGGCCCCTGGAGGCAGTCAGTCATGTGCTATAGGAGACCATTGGGAGCCTCTTTGACCATTAGCATCGCTGATGTGAAGAAGAGACAGAAACCGCACACGCTGCCCCTCAGCTCTGCCCTATTCTGCAGAGGGCATGCGAGATGTGGGCAGAGTGGGGGCCCAGCCACACACGTCTTTTGGGGCCCACTGTCCCTTAGCCCCATGCTGAAGATTGATGCTGGGCTGATTGCCTGTGGGAAGGCTCCCTTCCACCAGTGGGGGCAGCGTGTGTTGGCCAGCCACCCTCCCTAACTCCGTCTTCTCTCTCTCTCACCCCTCCTCTCCCTTTCTTCCCCTATCTTCTCTCCTTCCCTCTCCCTCCTTCCCTCCCCTCACCCCACACTTCTAGACAGGAAAGGAATGGACAGCCCCCGGAGAGTTTGGGAAATTTCAGAGTCAAATTTCCAAGCCAGTGAGGTGAGTGGGGAGGGTTACCACCCATACTCTTGTGAGCCCCTTCTGTACCAGGCCTGTCAGTATGAGAGAGCTGGGAGGGCCCCTCCTCACCATCTCCACCAGCTTGCTGCTCAGGGTTACTGTGCCTGAGCGCCCGTCCACATGGTCTGCCTAAACAGAAGCCATCTGCCCTGCCCTTCATTTTATTTTTATTTTTTAGTGAATGAATTTGTTTTTTCTTTTTTGTTTTTTTTCCGAGACAGGGTTGCTCTGTGTAGCTTTGTGCCTTTTCCTGGAACTCACTTGGTAGCCCAGGCTGGCCTCGAACTCACAGAGCTCCATCTGCCTCTGCCTCCCGAGTGCTGGGAGTAAAGGTGTGCGCCACCACTGCCCGGCTCTTTTTCTTTCTTTTTTTTTTTTTTTAGTGAGTGTGTTTTGCCTACACGTGTATGGGTGTGCCATGTGTGGGTCTGGTACCCTCAGAGGACAGAAGGATTATTGGGTCCTCTGGGACTGGTTTTACATGTGGTTGGAAGCTGCCCTGTGGATGCTGGGAACCAAACCCTGGTCCTCGGCAAAACCAGTGCTCAGTCTTAACTTCTAAGCTCCAGCCTCCTTTGTCATTTTAGATGGGGCCACTGAGGCCCAGGGAAGCTTTGTGACTGACGGCAGGCCACACAGATATTGAGTGACACCCAAGAGTAGAAAACAGGTCTCCTTTTTACCCGTTCTTGCCTTCCCGTTTTCTCCAGACCTAGAAATGCTCTCACACATAACGACTGCCTAGTAACCACTAGGGGTTACTCTGGGGTTTGAGAGGGTCCCTACAGGGAACTGGAAGAGTGACTTTGAGGTGATCCTGGAGAAATCAAACCTTTTCCAGCCCGCAGCAGCAGCGGGAATGGCCTTAACAGTTGGGCTGTGAACTTAGTCCAGCCTCAGCCCGCCACCTGGTGGCTGACACAGTCACAGGCGAGGCCATATGCTGGCTGGAAGTTGCCTTGAGCAGACCTAGTTTTCGAGGAGCCCTTGCTGCGGGCCAGCACTAGTGTGAGCATTCTGAGTCCTCTCAGTGGTTGGCACGGACCCTAAAGCAAGGCTGCCTGGTCCAAATTACAACTCCACTGCTTTACTACCTGGGTGACGTTGGGCAAATTACCAAAGAGTATGGTGCCTCCTCCTTACAGCCAAGGAGTGTCCGTCAAAGCAGAGGATGGTCCTGGCGTGCAGCAACTGCTCACTAAGGCCTAACTCTGAGTGCTGTGTCACTGGGTCCCCCAACTGACTTGTGAACCACTTAATCTGGCCCTTGCAGAAAGAAAGCCGAGGTCAGCTGTCAGGGGTAGGTGGGGATAGTTAGATGGCAAGCTCTTGGGAAGAGAAAGGAGCACCAGGGAGCTTTTGGGTGGGAGATGTGGACCGAGGGGACCAGCTGAGGAGAACCCCGTTTCCTGTCTCCTTCTGCCAGCTTGTCGGCCTCCCTCAGGTACTACTTTGAGGTTCTGCACAAGCAGAATGGTGAGGGTACCGACCACGTGGAGGTTGCGGTGAGTGACTGCTTCATCCCACTCCCCTCCACCCCTCCAGCCCCCCACCCCGCCTTTCCCAGCATTCCCTTCCCCATATCTCTTGAACGTTCTCCAACATCTGTGCCCTTCCTCTAATTCTAGTGGAGACGGAATGACCCTGGAGCCAAGTTCACCATCATCGACTCCCCTTCCTTGTCCCTCTTCACAAGTGAGTAGGCTCTGCCTGCCTGGGAGTCCCTGGGGCTCCAGTCAGGAGAATGTGGCCCAGGGTGAGGTTGGAGGGTGGAGATAAAGTTCTGCTTCTTAGAACATGGGTGTGAAGTAGGTCCAGAGAGGATAAGAGCCTGGGGGACCTTACAATTAGGGGTCTTTACTCTCCAGGGTCAGAGGTCTATTTAAGAACATGCTAGACACAGGTGTGGTGGCTTCGGGTTTGTTGGTTTGGTTTTTCAAGACAGGGTTTCTCTGTGTAGCCCTGGCTGTCCTGGAACTTGCTCTGTAGACCAGGCTGGCCTTGAACTCAGAGATCCACCTGCCTCTGTCTAAGTGTTGCCAGCACTAAGGAGGCTGTGGCAGGAGGATCATATATATATTCAAGGCTATCCCATGGGGACTTAAAAATAGACACAAAGCGAGAAAAGGGAGAGTGGGGGCATTCTGGAGGAAATATGTTCAATGTATAATATATGTATGTATGTATGAAGAAAATATAAAAAAGAAAAAGTAATACAAACAAAAAGAACCTGCTAGAACCTCTCTGAGCCCTACCTCCGAAAAATGCCTTTGCCCACCCATGCCTAACATTTTGAATATAACTACAAGGGATTCTGGGACCATGAGGCTCACTGGACGGCAGACTCAGCATGTTATATTTGTATATTTGTGCATACATATATATGTATGTATATGTATGAATGTAACAATAATAATCAAAGACAAAGAGGCTGTCAATTTGAGACTGGAGGTCTTGGGAGGGCCTGAAGGGAGGAACGAATGGGAATGTAATTCTACTTTAATTAAAAATGTATTTTTAGCCAATGGTGGTGTATGCCTTTATTCCCCGCACTTGGATGCAGAGGCAGAAGGATCTCTGTGAATTTGAGGCCAGCCTGGTCTACAGAGTAAGTTCCAGGACAGCCAGGGCTACATAGAGAAATCCTGTCTTGAAAAACTACTACTAGTAGTAGTAGTAATAATAATGATAATAGTAATAAATGTGCTGGGGTGTGGCTTGGTGGTAGAATACTTGCCTAGCACATGCAATACCCTGGTTTCCACCCCCAGTACAGAAAGAGTTAAAATTAAAAATAGCATCTTTAGCTGGGCGGTAGTGGTGCATGCCTTTAATCTCAGCACTTGGGAGGCAGAGGAAGGCAGATCTCTGTGAGTTCAAGGCCAGCCTGGTCTACAAAGCAAGTCCTAAAACAGCCAGAGCTACACAAAGAAATCCTGTCTTGAAAAACAACAAATAGCATCTTTAGGCTTCCATGGCAAGAGTATGGTGAGCAGCAAGTCCTGGGGAAGAACAGGAAAGTGAGATCAGAGAGACAGGAAAGTGAGTGTGCTGAAGGAGAGAAGATGGGGAAGGACCATCTGGGCTCCCAGGAGAGGCCGGAAGTTGTTGTTGGTCAAAGTAAGAGGTGCAGAGCAGAAGGGACAAGCTGTGAGCTGCTGGATGTTAGAGAGGAAGTGGTGTCAGAACCCACAGATTTGGGGGCTGGACAGACGGCTCAGTAGTTAGGGGCACCTGTTGTTCTCTTCAGAGGCGCCATTTTCAATTCCCAGCATCCACCTAGTGTCTTCACAACCATCCTTTCCTCCAGTTCCAGGGACCTGACACCCCCTTCTGGCTTCCACAGGCATTGCACACACATGGTACAGATAGACATGCAGGAAAAACGTTCATAAACATAAAATAAATACATTTAAAAAGTCGAACCAGGCGGTGGTGGCGCACGCCTTTAATCCCAGCACTCAGGAGGCAGAGACAGGCGGATCTCTGTAACTTGGTCTACAGAAGCAAGTTCCAGCCCAGCCAAGGCTACACAGAGAAACCCTCTCTTGAAAACAAAACAAAACAAAAAGAGTAGATAGAATAGTAGATAACATCTGGGGCTGAAGATAGAACCCAGGGGGCAGAAGGAAAAGGCAGGCAGTCAGTTCCCCTGGGGTCTCTCTGGAGCAGAATTTCTTAAACAGTAATCCCTTTTAGCTTGAGAAATCTGCACACAACTCCTGGTGTATGGGTCCATAAAATAGGTATATACACTGAACATTTACTGATAACAAATAATATGGAAATTCATTTTCAATTTTTTAAAAAAAATTATTTATTTATTTAGAAGAGGGCACCAGATCTCACTATAGATGGTTGTAAGCCACCATATGGGTGCTGGGAATTGAACTCAGGACCTCTGGAAGAGCAGCCAGTGCTCTTAACCTCTGAGTCATCTCTCCAGCCCCGGAAATTCATTTTAAAATAATGCTTTTGATATACTGTTTATCAAAGACAAAAGAAAATTTGCGCATCAATGAAATATCTATGCTTTATTTTTACATAAAGAATTAAATCTTGGTTCTGGGGATATGGCTCAGTGGTTAAGAACACTTACTTGTTGCTCTTGCAGAGGACCTAGGTTCAGTCCCCAACACCTACATGGTGGTTCACAGTCATCTTTAACTCCAATTCCAAGGAACCTGATATCCTCTTCTGATCTCTGTAGGCACCAGGCAAGCACATGGAGCACATACATAGATTTGGACAAAACACTCATACACATAAAATAAAATTTAAAAATATAAAATAAGCTTTTTTTTTTTTTTTTTTTTTTTTTAAAAGAGCACTTATGAGCTTGGTGGGTGGTGCACACCTTTGATCCCAGAAATCAGAAGGCAAAGGCAGGTGGATCTCTGTGAGTTCAAGGCCAGCCTGGACTACAAAGCAAGTTCCAGCACAGCCAGGGCTCTTATACAGAGAAACCTTGTCTTGAAAACAACAACAACAACAACAACAACAACAACAAAAAAGAGCTCATATTGCTCTTCAGAGACTGAGTTTAGTTCTCAGCACACACATCAGGTAGGGCTCAGTTAACCTGTCATTACCAGCTCCAAGACTTCTGATGCCTTCTTCTGGCCTTTGCAGGCACCAGCCCATATGGCATATACTCACATAGACAGACATACAAACAAATAAAAATAAGCCTTTGGCTAGATGTGGCGGCACACGCCTTTAATCTCAGCACTCAAGAGCTGGAGGCAGGCAGGTCTCTGTGAGTTCAAGACCTGTTTTGTTTTGTTTAAGATTTATTTATTTATTGTGTATACACTGTTTTGCCTGCATGTATGCCTATACACCAGAAGAGGGCACCAGATTTCACTACAGATGGTTGTGAGCCACCATGTGGTTGCTGGGAATTGAACTCAGGACCTCTGAAAGAGCAGCCAGTGCTCTTAACCTCTGAGCCAGCTCTCCAACCTCCAAGGTCTGGTTTATATAGTGAGTTAAAAGATAGCCAGGGCTACATGGTGAGACCCTGTCTCAAAAAACCAAAAACATTTATTTAAAAGATTAAACTTTGACTGAATATTTGATCTGTAGGATATGGAGCATCTTCCAGTTTATTTCAAGTAATCGATATTGTGTGTGTATGCATGTGTGCATGTGTCCGGGCACACGTGCAGAGGCCAGAGAGGACATCAGGTGCCCTGCTTTATTGCTCTTTAACTTATCCCCGTAAGACAGGGTCTCAGTGAAACTGAAGCTCACTGTTTTGACTAGGCTGGCTGCAAGTGGGCCCCTGGGATCTACCTGTTTTTGCTCCCCAGCACTGGGACTACAGGCTATGCCCAGCTTTGATGTGGGTTCTGAGGTTTAAAGTCATGTTTGTGAAGCAGACATGCTTACTCACAGAGCCCTATCCTCAGCCCCTTGATCAATATTTTAATTTTATAATCACCAGTGCTGAGAGCGCTGCTTTGCATAAATCATTGCTGAGATCACCATTTTCAGAATAAATAAGTGGTACAAACTAGAAGTTATGTTAAGGGCCATCCTGGAAATTCTGTCCTAATTCTAAGCCAAAATTCACTTAACAGCTTTTCAAAATGCTCATGTTTTTGTTTTCTATCATTAATCTGTTACATTTCTATAAGAATGTAAAACTTCATGTGCACATTAAAAACACCATATCATAGCATACAGTAGTCCTGAACCTGAGCCAAGGTGTTTCAGGGATTATTCACTGGCATTGCTAGGTGTGTGGCAAAGTGTAGTCAGAAGATTTCCTGTGTCCCTCCTGGCCCATGGTTGGGACAAATCTCTCACCCACAGTCCCACAGCCTTTTATAAAATAATCACACAGAGGCTTAATATTATTTTTACTTTCTCTTTAAAGACTTTATTTTTTAAAACTACCTGTTTTTTTAAATAATTGCATATGTTCCTTTTTCTCTCTCTTTTAAGCCTACGTACATTTTTACACACATTGTAACCTGTTAAGAGGTTTATTCCATCTGAATCTGACTTATTGTGAATCTATAATGCTTCTCTGACCAGGAGAGATGTTAAATTGTTAAACTGAGTGGCTAATACTGAAGCAGCAGCTGACTCCGCCCATTTCACCTTTTCAACATGGCGGAGGTAATTCACCTCCAGCTCTGGGAGTCATGCTCACCGCTGACTCTGGGAGGCAGTGGGTCCATGCCTCCATCCAGCAGCGTGTAGCCCAGAAACCTCCTTTTTTTTTTTTTTTTTTTTTTTTTTTTCTGTACTAGCAAACGCTAAATCCACCTCACAGTGTGCTGCGTGGCTGGGAGATGCCTCTGTGTAGTGGTGGGAATAGGCCATGCTGCTCTGCTCATGGCGGCTGGTGTCCAGCTCCATCTCACAGGCAGCTGTTAGGAGACAAGTGTCTATGCTACTGCTGGCATGAGACTGTGAGAGGAAGCCTAGTGTGGTGGCTCTGTTTCTGTGTGTTCAGAATCTTAAGCTTTTTTAGGTTTATGTGGATCAATGCCCAATGGTGAGTGCCAAATGTAGTCAGAAAGTTTCTCTGGTCCCGCCAGGCCCCCTCAGTTCCATGATATCAGAAAGTTTCTCTGGTCCCGGCCAGGCCTCCTCAGTCCTATAGCCTGCTTATAAAATAATCACACAGAGGATTAATATTAATTATAATTGCTTGGCCATTAGCTCAGGCTTATTACTGGCTAGCTCTTACACTTAAATTAACCCATAATTCTTATCTATGTTTAGCCATGTGGTTTGGTACCTTTTCTCAGTTCTGCCTTAATGTCTTGCTTCCTCTGTGTCTGGCTGGTGACTCCTGACTAGCCCTTCCTCTTCCCAGAATTCTCCTTGTCTGCTTGCCCTGACTATATTTCCTGCTCCTGGCTCCTGGCCAATCAGCGTTTTATTTATCAACCCATCAGAGCAACACATATTCACAGCATACAGAACAACATCCCACAGCAGCAAAGGCCTCATATTGTATGTTCAGAACAAGACTGATATTGTGTGCTATAACCAGAAACCTTTTACTATTGACACATTTTTTTTTTCAACAACCCCCACTCAGTGACACCACCCCATGTGGGCGCTTGACCACCAGCTTACGCTGCGGGCTGGAGAAGAGAGAGGTGGTGTGAGCAGACTTGAGGCTAAGTCTCAGCTGTGCTCAGCAGTACTGTAGCTAATGGGGCGTGGAGATAAAGGAGGACCACTCCAGTGCTGTGGATGCCTAGGGGAGCCTGGTTCACCATGTTCACATGGTACTCACAGATGGTGTATGAGAGGCTGCCCACGCTAGAGGCTGGAACTAGATTGCATGGGTGGTAACATCTTTCTGTCTTACCAGAGAAGGCCCAGGTTCAAACCCCAGCACTGCCAGGAATACCCAAGAAGTACTACCTGGGCGTACACTAAGTGAAAGTAAATAATATGGCTGAGTGTAGATTTCTGTCAGGTCGGCAGTAAAGCATTTGGGGGAGGAGGTATCTTTTTCTAGTCTATGCAAAATCATGGTGTGTGCTGGCCATGAGATGAAGCAGGCTCAAAAGGAGCCGGCTAAATCCACAAGTGTCTGGGCATCTGAGGGCAGGGGCTCCGCACAGCTCAGACTTTACCTGAAGGAAAAAGAGGCCATGCCTGAACTCTACCCGCCCTGCAGAACACACTCGGTTCTGTAAGGACCTACAGCTTCCCACTGTTCTCTCCTCCCTGGCCACAGATGAGACCATCCTAAGGATGAATGAGGTGGGCCACATCCCACAGACAGCAGCCAGCCACGTAAGCTCCTCCAACACTCTTCCCAGGGATGAGCAGCCCCCAGCTGACATGCTGCGGCCTGACCCTCGGGACACCCTCTATCAAGGTAAGTCTTTGCTCACATTCTGATCACCACGTGGAGGGTCTACACCTGCCAGGTTCTCTGTGTTGATGAAAAGGACTCAGGAGACCTGTCTATGCTACAGTAGCCCCAAAGTCACAAAATCTTTTTCCCCATTTGAAGTGTAAAACATAGCATACATACCAAAATTACAAGAGTGTTTACGTCCAGTTTTATGATCTCACAAATCATTATAGAGTGGACCTTGTCTAACCAACACCCAAGACCAGAAATGGAATTAGATTCAGATGTCATCACACAGTCCTAGATGGCCACAAATGTCAGCCGCTTTATGGATCCCAGCTCTTATCATCCAGTAAGGAATGAACATGTTAGTCTTTCGATGCTGAGGGCTGAGTCTGGGACCTTGAGCTGAGCCTGTGCTCTACCCCGGAGCGCATCCCCAGCTGGTCATGTCTACATTTTAAAAGCTGACGGCGCGCCCCTTTTCGTCCCTTTAAAAGAAGGCGGTGGCCAGATGTGTCACCTATCTGCAGGCCCAGCAGTCAGGAGGATGGGGCAGGAAGATCCTGAGCTTGTGACCATGGCAGACCCTGTCTGTCTCAGAAAAACAAAACCAAAAAGTAGTGAAAACTGGACAGCGGGAGGAAGGGAGGGAATCCACTAAGGGGAGTATGCTGAGGTGGAGCCTTGTGGCCTCTTGAAGTGTCGCTAGACAGTGATCCAATTGTACTGTCCCTGTGTCTTGGAGTTCTCTTCCTGTGGTGACAGCCTCAGTCGATAGACATGGATTGGGACCACAGCTGTCACCAGTGAGTACAGTACAATTGGAGGCCGCTCTGGTGGAGGACATCAGGTCTCTCCCTCAGCCAGAGGCCTTTGTGGCCCTCAGATGTTTGTGTTCTCACCTCTTCACACTCTTCAATCCTCCTCTTCCCTTCTGTTCTCAGTGCCGCTCATCCCCAAGTCCCATCTGCGCCATGTCCTGCCCGATTGTCCCTACAAACCCAGCTACCTGGTGGATGGACTCCCGCTGCAGCGCTATCAGGGCCTCCGCTTTGTAAGTCACGTCCCTAGACCAAGGAGGACTGGGAGAGGCCTGTTGCCTGTGGCTGGGGGTGTGGGGGATGGGGGATGGACCAAAGCTGACTCTGTGCTTCCTGTGTCCTAGCCCAGGACGCAGGATGACCTCTCAGGTCCCTGGGCTGCATCCCTGGATGGGCTCACTAGGGTGAACCGTCCTGCAGAACCTGCAGATAGATGCTCTGCCTTCGAATCTGTCTCTTCCCCCAGTCCTACAGCCTGGTGACTCTGCTCCAAGGGCCACACAGACCCTGTCCTGCCTGCTCAGTCCCGGCAACTGGGGAGCCAGTGGCATTTTAAACTCACAGACAAGATGCTTGGGAAAATGTACTAGATGTGGGTGGTAGCTTTATCTGTGTGGAGGGTGAGGGAGCAGAAAGAACGTGGTACACCCAGGTCTAGAGATGAAGATAGAGGACTGGAGGCTTGAAGAAAGGAAGTGGTCAAGAGTCATGGCCAGGCCAGAGAGTGCGGGCCTTAATTGAGGACGTTTTTGGTGGCGGTGAGCTCAGGCTGTGTTTAAGAGCAAAGGAAGCGGAGTGTAGAAAGGGCCCAGCGCTGAGAGAGGGAGTGGATAAAGAGAGGCTCCCAGGTGGCAAAGGGAAGAGGAAATGGTCTTGGTGACAACTAAGGGAGACAGATGGCCCAGGGAGGAGCCCACAAGGGCGGTCGTGAGAAGACAAGTCAAGACTGCATTACTAAGTGTGACATTCAGCACCGTGGCACCTTCCCCGTCCGGGTGCAGCTCAACCCAGGCAGGCTGCTTCCTCCCCAGGAGTCTCCCTCTCATGCATGCCCTGTTTTCTCTGCTTCCAGGTTCATCTGTCCTTTGTTTATCCCAACGACTACACCCGTCTGAGCCACATGGAGACCCACAATAAATGCTTCTACCATGAAAGTGCCTATGACCAGGACAGGTGTGTGGCACTGGATGGGGCAAATGGAGGGACTTTCAGGGGGCCCCGTGGGAGTCAGGAGAGCTGCCTAGGCTGGAGGGGCCGGTCCCTCCACACTGAGGAGTCCTGGGCCCTCCTCACACGCACATGTGTGGGTATTCCTGACCAGAACATACTGTTCCAGCTCCTTTCTCCACTCCCTCCCAGGGAGAATCTGTGAGGAATCTGGTGCCCGTCCACATGTCCTTCCTCCTACAGGTCCAGCTTCCAGGAGTATATCAAGATGGACAAGCCAGAGAAGCAGGGCCTGGAGCAGCCAGGTACAGAGGCGAGTGCAGCTGAGGCTGTCAGAGCGCACCTAGCTGCGGGTGGTGGTGGTCTCTTTCTAGGGAACATTCTAATCGTTCAGCCTTGCACCGGAGGAGCTTAGCATGCAAAACCCCCCGATCGGATCCCCTCATCACAATCCAGGGAGCAGAGAAGTACCCACGCCTTCCATTTCAGTCCGCGTAGAGAGTGCTGCTTCTCACGCACTGGGGCAGCTGGAGACGTGGGTGGCCGTGGGACCCTGGCTCTCTACACTGCTGGGAAGCATGCTATAGAGAAGCCCTGTCTTGCTGTGGCCTTCCTTCATGAAGGACAGGGTATGGCTGAGCTCACTTGTTGAGTCCTAAATGGTGCTGGTGCTTATAAGGTATTTTATATCACGGGGCTTACAGTCTTCTAAGTGGTTGTGTTTTGTTTTGATTTTTTAAAACTTTCCTTTGTTTGCATATATGCTTTTGCTTTTTTTTTTTCTTTTCTTTTCTTTTTTTTTTTTTTTTTGGTTTTTCGAGACAGGGTTTCTCTGTGTAGCTTTGCGACTTTCCTGGAACTCACTTGGTAGCCCAGGCTGGCCTCGAACTCACAGAGATCCACCTGCCTCTGCCTCCCGAGTGCTGGGATTAAAGGCGTGCGCCACCACCGCCCGGCCGCTTTTTTTTTTTTTTTAAGACAAGGTCTCACCATGGCATTCAGGATAGCCTGGAACTTGCTGTGTAGCCTAGGCTAGACTGAACTTTGTGACAATCCTCCTGTCTCTCTCCCTTCCAAGTGCTGTAATTACAGGCCTACACCACCATGCTGCCTGTCAGCCTTGATATAGATAACAAAACAGGGGGTAACTGAGGTGGAGTAACTTGTGCAGGGTCACACAACAAACGGCCCCCACCTGGACCCCTCGGGATGTCACATGTGTAACCATCTGCTGTTTTGTGTCTTTGGGGAGGAATTGAAAACTCCTGAAACGAGGGATGATTCTTAACAGGTTTTGAGGATGGCCTTCTAGAAGAATCCCAGTATGAAGAAGCAGAGGAAATCCCTGCCTCCCAAGACCAGGATCCTGGGACACAAGGAAGAAAACAAAGGACTACTTCCACCCCAGGGCTGGGTGTCACTGAATACCACCTCCGGAAGCTCTTGGCTCACCCACAGAGTGGCCCCTTGGCACCTCTTTCCAAGCGGAACTCTACCCCTCCCTTTCCAACAAGGACTAATGACAGCCCAGGCCAGCAGCCGGAGAAAAGGAAGGGGAAAAGTCGCCCTGTGCCCAGCCAAGATTTATCTCATTCTGACAAGGGGACCCTGAGGAACCTGCCTCTCCTTCAGAGAGCCAGACCCACTGGGGACAGTCCCGGGAAGACGCTTGAGCAGTCTCAGTGGCTGAATCAAGTGGAGTCCTACATTGCTGAGCAGAGAAGGGGTGACAGGATGGAGTCCCAGGCCCCCAGCAGGGGCTGGCACGGAGAGGAGGACGTGGTGGTAGCAGCAGGCCAGGAAAGAGAAGTGGAGGAAGAGGAAGAGGTGGAAGAAGAAGAGGAAGAAGATATGAGTGAGGTGTTCGAATACGTACCTGTGTTTGACCCGGTGGTGAACTGGGACCAGACCTTCAGTGCTCAGAACCTCGACTTCCAAGCCCTGAGGACTGACTGGATTGATCTGAGCTGTAACACATCTGGCAACCTGCTGCTTCCGGAGCAGGAGGCCCTGGAAGTCACACGGGTCTTCCTGAGAAAGCTCAGCCAGAGGACCCGGGGGTAAGGTAAAGGGCTTCCCTGGGGCTGGGGCAGGGGTATATGGTAACGCTGTCTTCAGGAGGCCCTGACCTGCGGACTGAAAGCAGGGTTCCTGCTGCAGGAGTAGCGGACCTTTGCTGGTATTCTGGGACGTGAGAAGGTTGCATGGCTTCACTCTGACTGGAACTGAAAATTAGCAAGGCTTGGTAGATGGCATCTGCCCTCTGAGAAAAGGCTTGGGAAGAGAGAAGCATGCAAAACAGGCTGAAAGCGTCAGCCACAGCCTCAGATGGCGTTAGAGGGCGTGGCTAGAGCTCTGCTCTCCCTCACCTTCCCCCTCATAGGTCCTTCCCCCGCATCATACCCTCTCTCCCTTTATATGTTCACTTGTTTAATCAATCAAGATCTCAGTATGCTGGTTTTAAAAGTACCTTCCCAGTAGAGTTGAGCCGTCACTAGTGTCTAATCATCCCAGGGCATTTCCATTCCCTTCGTGTTGGCTTGGGTCCTGCACCCACACCAGCTGGGCACGTGCTGCCCTACGAAGCTATGTCCCCCCCTACGAAGCTATGTCCCCCCCTACGAAGCTATGTCCCCCCCTACGAAGCTATGTCCTCCCCTACGAAGCTATGTCCCCCCCTACGAAGCTATGTCCCCAGCCCTTTCCTTTTCTTTCTTTTCGAAATAGGGTCTCAATGAGTTATTGAGGCCGACCTTGAATTCATGGTTAACTCAGGCCTGGAACTTGAGATCCTCTTGCCTCAGCCTCCAGAGGAGCTGGGCTTACAGGCCTGCACCTCACGACCTGAGGACAGGGAAGGGAGAGGAGAGGAAAAGGCCCTCCCTGCTGGTTGCGGTTGAACAATCCCTTCCCACCATGGTTATCCTCGTGTGCTATAGAGCAGAGCTGCCCCACCTACCCAAGTGCATCCTGCACCTGTAACTGTCCTGCCTCTGCTCCTCCCACCTCCACATTCTTGCCAGGCTCTGGTACCCACTGTTCTACTCTGTGCTTCCCTGAGAGACCTTGATTGCTTCCACATACAAATGAAGACACGTGGTATTTGCCTTTCTGTGCCTAAGTTATTTGTCCTACAATTCTATCCATACTGCTTTGAAAGGATTCTGCTGTTGATGGGTAGATAATAGTCCAATGTATATGTAACCAATGTTGCTTACTCATTTGCTTATGGATAAACGCTTTGGCGGTTGTGACCGGAGCTGTGGTGCACACGTGAGGGCAGGTGACTTTAACATGCTAACTTTTGTTCCTTGGATAGTAGGATAGCTGGATCATAGGTAAGTAACTCTAGTTGTAGTTTTTTGAGGAACCTCTGTGATTTTTTTTCTTTAGTAGCTGTACAAGCTTACACTCCCACCAATGTGGAAGAGAGTCAGTGTTCATCTGCATCCTCTAATGGCTGTAACTCTTATTTTATTTTAGTCTTGACAGCTGTCAATCTTGCTGGGGTGAAATGGTATCATTTTGATCTTACCCTGATGGTTAGCGACACTGAATATTTTTTTCACATACTTGTTAACCATTTTAAAAAAGGTTTATTTATTTTATATGTATGAGTGTTTTATCTGTCTGTATGTAAGTGCATTGTGTATGTGCCTAGTGCCCTAAGGGGCCAGAAGAGGGTGCTAGATCCTTTGGAACTGGGATTATGGATAGTTGTGAGCCACCATGGGGCATTGGGAAGCAAACCCAGGTCCTCTGGAAGGTCAAGTGCTCTTAACCGCCATTTTTTGGTGGCCCTCCTGTGTCCTCTTCCTAAATGCTAGGATTACAGCCGTATGTGCTACCATGCCTGACCTTTTGTTTTTGTCTGTGGCCTAGAACTTACTATTTGGATGGGGCTAGCCTTGGACTCATAAGCAGAACTCCTGTTTCTGCCTCCCAAAGTCAGGAATTATAAGCAGACACCTGGCTTGTTTTGTTTTGTTTTTTAGATGAAGTCTTGAGCCCATGTGGGCCTGGAATGTAGGTCGTGCCTCACTGTATACTTTGTTATCTTTGAAAAGGGTAGCTATCTGTTTCCAGATAGAGAGACTGGCACAGTGGACAAGAGCATTTACCGTGATAGCCTTAGGGCCTGAGCTGAGATAAAGCCTGGCATGGCATTGCATGCCTGTAATCCCCGCGTTGGTGGGCAGAGACAGGGAGAGCTGTGAGATCTCCGTTCACCTGGATGTGTGCTGCTTCCTCTAGTTTGGCGAGGCTGTGCTTGTTCACTTTGGCTTTTTGTTGTCTGAGCTTTGAGGCTGGTTCAGACAGTCTCTGCCCAGAGCAATGTCCTGAAGCATTCATTACCTGGGTGTTTTCTTTAGCAGTGCCATCATTTCTGGTCCTAAGTAGAAATGTTTGAGACTGACTGAGTTGATTTTTGAGCAAAAGTGGGCTTCATTCTAGTCTTCTGCGTATGCAGTTTCTGCTTTCAGAAGGCACTGTCCCCTAGACAAGGCGTGCTCTGCTGCCTTTGCTGCCAACCAGTTGGCTGGAAATGCCTGACTTATTTCCAGGTTCACTCGTCTCCTCCATTGATCGACATCTGTGGGTCGTTGTTGTTTTGAGTACCCTGTGTTGGGTGAGTGTGCTTAAAATTGTAGTAACCTCTTGGCGGATTTTTCCTTTAATCAAAGTGACCTTTGTCTCTTCTGACAATATATATTATATATCTATCTATCTATCTATCTAATATTACACCTGTTTTCTAGTTCATTTGTTCGGAGCACCTTTACTATCCTTTCACCCTAAGGTAGTGTCTTTATTTGATAGAGAGGTGTGCTTCTTGGAGGCAGCAAATATGTGAATCCTGCTTTTTGTTTTGTTTTTAAGATTCATTTTTATTTAAAAAGTTTTTAACCCTTATTTTTATTTTATGTGCATGGGTATTTTGCCTGCACGTGTGTCTGTGAATCACATGTGTACAGTGCCTGCAGAGGCCAGAAGAGGGTGTTTGGTCCCCTGTGGTTGGTCTTACAGATGTTTATCAGCTGCCATGTGGGTGCTGGAACCCAACACAGGTCCTCTGGAAGAGCAGCCAGTGCTCTTAACTGTGGAGTCATCTCTCCAGACCCACGATTTATTTTAAATTGTTTGTGTATGGGGTGGGGTGGGGGGGCATGTATAAGTGTAGATGTCCTCAGTGTTTAGAAGAGCCTATTGGATGCCTTGGGGCTGGATGATGGTCAGCCACCTGATGTGGGTGCCGGGAACCCAACTCAGGTGCTCTGAAAGAATAGCAATCACTCTTAACCACTGAGCTTTCTGTCCAGTCCCTGTATCCGTATTTCTTTGTTTTTTTGTTTTGAGACAAGGTTTCTCTGTGTAGCCCTGGCTGTCCTGGAACTCACTCTATTGTAGACCAGGCTGGCCTCGAACTCACAGAGATCCACCAGCCTCTGCCTCCCAAGAGCTGGGATTAAAGGCACGCGCCACCACTGCCCAACTTGTTTTTTTTTTTTTTTTTTCTTAATGTGGGTCAATTTCTCAAGGGATCTGTCACAGGACCCCTTATATTGAGTCTTAGTGCTATAAAAGGCCTTAAAAACCATCCTACATTTAAAGATGAAGGAGTCTTAGGGAGGTTGCATCTCTTGCATGAGCCTCTACAGCTAACCAACTGCAGAGCAAAGATGAAGCTAGGCCCTCCTGACGACTGGCCCTCAGGCTTCTACCACACGCCCTCTGCTCACTCTAGCACCCTCTGTACCTCAGGAGATACCAGCTGCAGCGCATCGTCAATGTGGAGAAGCGCCAGGACCGGCTGCGTGGAGGGCGCTACCTCCTGGAGCTTGAACTGCTGGAAGGCCAGCGCCTGGTGCGCCTCTCAGAGTACGTGTCCACTCGAGGCTGGCGGGGGAGTGACAGCACTGGTGGGGAGGACACGGAAGCCCGGAACCTGCAGGGCCTGGTCTGGAGCCCACGCCGTCGCAGACACGTGCTGAATGTCCAGGATCCAGAGCCAAAGCTGTGCTGGCCCCAAGGTTTCTCCTGGAACCATCGAGCTGTGGTCCACTTCATTGTGCCTGGTAAGCTTTAGCAGAATGGTGGGGTGTCTTGACGATCACCACGAGCAATGGGTCTGTTTTCTTGATTTGATCTCCCAAGGATTTGTGAGTGAAGCCACCTCACCACCGAGGAAAAACGCAAAAGGAAACAGGTTGAACTGTTGTGCCGTTGGTGAACAATGGAGCTGAGGTCACTGCTTTCTGTCCTGCTAGGTCTCAGGGTTGGGTGTGAGCATCAACTTGGGTTGTTGTTGAAGAAATAAGAGTGAGGGTATTATATAGAGTGGGTTTTGTTTTGAATATTCTTTGTGGTCTGGAGATCAAATCCAGGGCCTGGCACAGGCTAAGCAAGGCATGGAGCCGCACCTCCAGCCCTAGAGTGATCTTTCCAGTGAGAAAGGAAAACACGAGACAGTGTGTAAGAACGAAGGAGAAGAGATGAAAGGTGGAAGTAAGATGGATAGGTGGCAGGTCTGTTAAAGCTGGGCAGGGTTGCTGCCATGAGTCCCACCCACGACTCTCTCCCAGATACTGCCTGGGAGGTGTTCAGGGAGCTGTAGAAGGGGCTGGTGAGCCCTGCCCCTCCCTAGGGTCTCTGTGCTTCATGCTAATGATTCCTGGAGTTGCATTATCCCCTGGCAGAGGTCGATGGGACTCCTGAGTTGAGTCAGAGCTGAGAGATGTTCGCCTTTCCTTAACTCTGCTGTTTTCTCCCTGCCTGACCTACCTGGGTAGTGAAGAACCAGGCTCGCTGGGTGCAGCAGTTCATCAGAGATATGGAGAGCCTGTCCCAAGTCACTGGCGACCCACATTTCAACGTCATTATCACCGACTATAGCAGTGAGGACATGGATGTGGAGATGGCGCTGAAGAGGTCTAGGCTGCGGAGGTGAGGAAGACCTGGCTGCAGCCAGCTTGTCACCTTTTCCACATCCCGGGACTGCTGGTCAGGGCAGAACCGGAAGGTACAGCCAGCTTTCCTGAGTCCCAGTGTCCAGCTTTACGCCCCTGCCCACAACCCAGGAGCACTCATTCTCTCTGTTTTGTGCCTTCCAACTTCCTTCAAGGACCCCACAGCTGAATCCTCACACGCCTCCTTCTCTTCCTACAGCTACCAGTACATGAAGCTGACTGGAAACTTTGAGCGCTCCGCTGGACTACAGGCTGGCATAGACCTGGTGAAGGTAATGGGCCTCAGGGAGCACCTCAGGGAAGGTGCTCAAGAGTACTTAAGAGACAGAGAGGCATTTGGAAGGTATAAGGTAGTCAGCTCCTTAGGAAAGGGATTGGGTCACAGGACCGTGCTTGTCACTGTCCATTACTGTAACAAGATAACCTGAGCGTCCTCATCTGCTTTCTATTGCTGTGATAAACACCATGACCAAAAGCAACTTGGGAAGGAAAGGGTTTAACTGGTTCACACATCTGGGTCCCAGTGGATCACTGAGGGAGGTCAGGGCAGGATCTCAGGCAGGGTCCTCGGGTCCCGGTGGATCACTGAGGGAGTTCAGGGCGGGATCTCAGGCAGGGTCCTCGGGTCCCGGTGGATCACTGAGGGAGCTCAGGGCAGGATCTCAGGCAGGGTCCTCGGGTCCCGGTGGATCACTGAGGGAGGTCAGGGCAGGATCTCAGGCAGGGTCCTGAAGGAGCTGTGCTTCCTGTTTTGCTCTTCACAGCTTGCTCAGCTTCCTTTCTCTTCATTTTACTTTTTTAAATTAAAAACCATTGCTGAGGCTGGAGAGATGGCTCAGCGGTTAAGAGCACTGGTTGCTCTTCCAGAGGTCCTGAGTTCAATTCCCAGCAACCACATGGTGGCTCACAACCATCTGTAATGAGATCTGGCGCCCTCTTCTGGCCCGCAGTGCGGGCATGCGGGCAGAACAGTGTATACTAAATTAATTAATTAATTAATATTAATTAATTAATTATTGCAGATGGTTGTGAGCTGCCATGTGGGTGCTGAGAATCAAACCCAGGTCCTCTGGAAGAGCATCCAATGTTCTTAACCACTGAGAGCCAGCCGCTAGCCCTCCATCTTGCTTTCTCATACAGATGTGGCACCATTCACAAAGGTCTGGACCCTCCTGCATCAATCATGAATCAAAATGCCCCACAGACTTGTCCAAAGGTCAATGTGATGGAGGCATTTTCTTCATTGAGGTTCTTCTTCCTAGATGACCCTAGCTTGTGTCAAGTTAACCAAAAACAAAACAAGAAACAAACAAAAAACAAAACCAATCAGCTCACTGAATTGAATTAAGCTAAGATTTGTTTGTTTTTTATTTGTGATGTTGGGAATTGCACTCAAGGCCTTGTGCATGCTAGGCAAGCACTCTCCCACCCAGCTCCTTCCCAGCTCTGAGGAGAAGGTTCATTTGGTCTGTGGTTCCAGTCTATGGTCATTTTGCCCCAATGCTTTTGGGCCTGTGGTGAGGGAGTTAATCACGGCACAGAACACGTGGTAAAGGACACTGTACTTTGTGGCAGCCAAGAAGTGAGAGAGAGGGGGGCTAGGCTCCCAGAATCCGTACTCCTCCTCGTGACTTACCTTCTTCCCACCAGGCCCCACCTCCTATGGGTTCCCCAAGCTCCCCGTAGCACCACAGGCCGGAAAGCAATCCTTCGTCATGTGGCCTTTGGGGGATATTTTGAAACCTTAGCAAGGAGCATCCTTGGCACTGCATTGCAGACCCAGAATACAACGGGACTAAGTAAATAGCAAGGACGTGTTTCCCCAGGTGTCAGAATCCTCAGACTCCATAAAACATGGGACAGAAGTCAGTATTGTGGTACATGCCTATCATCCCAGCTCTGAGGAGGCTGAGACAGGGGGAGCATGGGTTGAGGCCAACCTGGACTACACAACAAATCCCAGACTAGTCTTCCAAGATTCTGTCTCAAAAGAAAGTGGGGAAGGAGTCTGAATTCATGCTGTGATGTGAGGACTCAGCCCTGCTATCCAGGGTTGTGGAAATATGCCTAGTGTTTAGCTTTGTGTAAGTTGTCCTTCACTCCAGTAGGGGAGAGCCCAAGGATTCCACTAGAGCAGTTGGTTCTCAACCTGTGGTGACCCCCTTGGCAAACCTCTGTCTCCAAAAATATTTACATTATGATTCATAACAGTAGCAAAATTACAGTTATGAAGTAGCAACAAATAAGTTTATGGTTGGGGATCATCACAACCTGAGGTACTATATTAAAGGGTAGCAGCATGAGGAAGGTTGAGAACCGCTACTCTATAGAGAATGGCCTCATCTCCCAGCTCCGGTCCAGAGTTCTGCTGACCTTGCCTTCTCTATCCCCAGGATCCACACAGCATCATCTTCCTCTGTGACTTGCACATCCACTTTCCAGCAGGAATCATCGATACCATCCGGAAGCACTGTGTAGAGGGCAAGATGGCCTTTGCCCCCATGGTGATGCGGTTGCACTGTGGGGCCACCCCACAGTGGCCTGAGGGTGAGCCTTGCCCTGGGTGAGGGAGGAGGAGGCACCCTCTGACCTTGGTGTTTAACCCCACGGCTGGAAAAGTTTATACCTAAGCATCAGCATCTTCCCCATCCTGCCTTCCTGTGTTCTCTGAACTTTGGGCAGACCCCAGGCTCTACAGCGGCACTTGCCCCTCTCCCCAGCATGCGTTCATCCGACAGTCATGAAGCATTTGCTGTGGGCTGGACCCTGTGCCCAGGAAGATGGGAAGGTGGAGAGATGAAGCAGAGGAGAAAACCAACTCACAGCGGCCAGAAGGGCTGCTGGGATCACATCCTAATTGCTGGGCTATAGTGAGGTTGTGACATCAGTCTATGGTCACTGCTGTGTTTGCTGAACCTCAGGCCTTGACAGGGGGGCTTCCCCCAGACAGTCCAGGGACTTCCTTAGCTGACAGTCTTCTGCCTCTGCCACCCAACTCTCTACCTTCAGAAGAGCCCGTGGGAACCCAGCATCCAGCTCGTCTCAGCAGAGTGTCTTGTCTGTCCACAGGCTACTGGGAGGTCAATGGATTTGGACTGCTTGGCATCTACAAGTCAGACCTGGACAAGATCGGGGGCATGAACACCAAGGAGTTCCGAGACCGCTGGGGAGGCGAAGACTGGGAGCTCCTGGACAGGTGACACGGGAGCAGGGCGCAGGAGCAGGGCACAGGAGCAGGGCGCAGGAGCAGGGCCTTTAGGGATCTGCTGGAGTTCAGGCCCAGGGCAGTGAGGCCAGAGCTGCAGAGCACGAGAAAGCATACTGGTCTGGGAGCTCCCAGAGGCTGGCTTCGCTGACACGCAGGCCTTGTATCCAGCAGAGGGGATGACATTCCTGCTGTGTGTCACACAGTCTGAGTGGCTGGTTGAGTTGTCAGAGGTAAAGCAAGAGATTGGAGCTAAACAGAGAAAATGATGATGTTCTTGGGACCGGGTGAGGCACTCAGGAGCTTTCTCCCCAGCCAGGGATCAGACTCTTCCCAGACACAGCTGCCTGGAGGAGGGGTTGAAAGCTGTGAGAGGGCATGGGGAGATGGGCCAAGGGTTAGGAGTGAGTCGGGAGCCGCAAAATAGGCAGTGTGGACCATTAAATGACAACAGGCTATCTAAGGGGGTCTGGATTCCTGGAGGTGAGAAGGGAGGTGTTTTGAGAAGAGTAACAGCTCAGAGAAGGGGAGGGCTGGGCATATAGAGCACTCTCGCCTAGCATGAATGAGGCCTTAGGCTCAATCCCTGGTACTAAAGGTGGGGATATATATATATCCCCACCGTGTGTGTGTGTGTGTGTGTGTGTGTGTGTGTGTGTGTGTGTGTGTGTTCATCACTTTTGTCATCACTGTGACAGAGTACCTCACTAAAGCATCTTGAGGGAAGAAGGGTTGGCAGCAGGTTCATGGCAGGGATGGCATGGTAGCATTCGTAGAGATGGGAACTCCTGACATCTTGGGCAAACTAGGAAGCAGAGAGAAAGAAACTTAGCCCGGAACTAAGACAGACTAAACCACACAACCCAGGGCATACCATGTGTTTGCATATACTCGTACACTTGTATTCTTAGCCTGGTGTGGTGACATATGTTACTAATCCCAGCACTGGGGGAGGCTGGAGGCCAGCCTGGTCTACACAGCAAGAGCCTGTCTCAAGCCCCCATCCCCCAAAAAAGGAAAGGAAAAAGAGAAATGAAAAGACACAGTGGAGTGGACTTAGGAGCAGTGGACTTGGCAGGTGGGCCAGGAAAGTGTTCTAGCAAGAAGCAGGGTTGTGTGGATGCCCGTGGATGTCCGTGGCCTCCCGTGGACACTGGGCTGCAAGAGTGGGAGGAACCTGCTGCAATGAGAATGTTTCTCCCTGTGTTTGCTTGTGAGCCCTCTTTCCCAAGAGAAGGGGAAGGAAGAGGATACTACCTTGAGATGTGACCTCAAGGGAGGAACTAAGAGGGAAAGGAAGCCTGTAACAGCTGGAAGGGTGTCCATAGAAGGAGGAAGGGATGAGGCAGGGGCACCAGGGACATGCTACTTCCTGAGAGGGAGGGCAAGGTGCAGCCACCAGCCTCTGGGTTATTATAATTGGCAGGTGAGGTTCAAGCCCAAGGCTTCATTCATCCTCCTCACCAAACACTGTGCTCGGTGCAGCTGTCTCCATTTCTCAGAGGGGAAACGGCTCGTGAAGAGTAGTTAATTACTTGTCCCTTCTCTTCCTGTAAAGCATCAGAGGCCTGAAAATCAGACCCATCTCTGATTTCCCGCTGGAGGGAGAAAAAGGAAGAATACTGAACTACTGAGAATGAAAGGTGGGGTGCGGAGAGGTTCAGTCACAGGAAGCCACATCACAGTAGACCCCAAAGCGGGTGGGAGCCCAGTGTGGCTGTTACTATCACACGTGACCTTCATGCTGGGCTCTGTGCTTTGATGCAGACCTCCAAAATAGTTCTTAACCCTCCCGCTGTCTTTGAGACCCGAGGAAAGAGCTGCTCTGGTTCCATCAAGTTGCAGAGCTGTTTGAAGTATAGGCCTCCTAGAAAAGGGGCCCCTCCCCTGGTGGCTGTGCAAATGAGAACATTGCCTAGCCTTGGGTTTGATCTCCAGTACTGCCAGAAAAGCAGCCAGGCTGTGAGACACACACCTGTAATCCCAGTTTTCAGGAGGCTGAGGCAGAAGAATCTTGAGTTAGAGGCCAGCCTGGGTGTGGTGATATATTGTGCACCCCAGTAAAACTTATCTGGGGATCAGAGGACAGAGCCAGCCCTAGATTAGACATAGAGGCCAGACAGTGATGGCACATACCCTTAATTCTTTCACTCGGGAGAAGACAGATCAGTTTGGATCTCTGTGAGTTCAAGGCCACACTGAGAACAGAGCCAGGCATGGTGGTACACAGCTTTAATCCCAGTACTTGAGATCTCATGCCTTTGCTTGGGAAGCACACACGCCTTTAATCCCAGAAAGTAAGATGGCAGGGCAGAAAAAGGTATATAAGGCATGAGGAAATGGGAACTCACTGTCTTTAGACTGAGGATTTCATAGAGGTAAGAACGTGGCTGGCTTGTTCTATTTCTCTGATCTTTCCACTTTCACCCCAATATCTGGCTCCGGGTTTTTTTTATTAAAAGACCATTTAAGATTTGTGTTACACCTGGGTTACATAAGATGGTGCCCCCCACTCAACAGACAGACAGGGACAGGGAAAGTCTGTGGGTTGCTTGTCCAGTTCCGGTCTCCTGATACTGTAAAGCAACTGGTGTATGCTGGGAATTGTGCTGAGTGCTGCAGATCCATCATCGTGTGTGTGTGTGTGTGTGTGTGTGTGTGTGTGTGTGTGTGTGTGTGGTGTGTGTGTGTAATTAGAGAGGATGGTGTGTCTATACAGATATCCACATTTATAAGATTATTGCCCTCTTCTAGAGAGGGGGAGTGTGTCTTTGATAGGCAACTTTCTGAGTCACACAGCTGTGACTGCAATCAAGGCAGGTTGGCTCCACTGTGCCTGGCTTGCTTTTTGCCCCAAGGGAAGTGACCAGAGGAAGGAGGGCAGGATCTGACGAAGATGTGGAAGGGTGGGTCCCTCGGGGGCCCGGTTGCTCCTGGACACCTGTTGCCTGGGTGCCTGCAGCGTTCCCGCTTCCGCGCCTCACACTGCCCTCTCTCCTCCAGGATCCTCCAAGCAGGCCTGGAAGTGGATCGGCTCTCCCTCAGGAACTTCTTCCACCACTTCCATTCCAAGCGAGGCATGTGGAACCGCCGCCAAATGAAGATGCCATGACCCCCAGGGACAGCTGCTTCCAGCTCCTTGACTTGCAGTTGACCTCGAGGAGGGAATACGAGGAACAGAAGCCTCAGCGCTAATTGCCCTCTCCACCAGGAGCTGTCCCTTCATGCAGGGACGAGTGCTGAGGCCCCTCTGCCACTCACTGAGTTGACAGATGCATAGGATGGGCAATGAGGTCAAGAAGAAAACACCTGCTTGAATAGAATACCATCGTGTCCACAAAGGTGCATTCCTAGGCCCCCGGCGCTCCTCACGGGGAGTACTGACCATGAACCAGAAACTTCAACGGGACAGATTTTATTTGGGGTGGAGGTGTGTGTGTGTGGGATAATTTTTAACAGAGTATGAAGACTTTTGTCTAGACCCAGCACTGACTGGGAGTGAAGCTGTGCATAGCTGATCTCAGACCCACTGAGGTGCTGGTCCCGTGCGGAATACCTCAGCTCCAGGCTCAGTCTGTGCCTTCCAAACACACACATTTCTCATGGTAGCCACTGAACAGCTGGCCACCAACTCGGGTATTAGCCCAACTCCTACAGATGGAGAGTTCTTTGTGGAAGGCCAACATCGGTGGCATCTTCCTTCTGCAACGGGGTGCAGGGTGAGTATGAGTGGGCATGGGCCCATCCTCCTGAGAGTCCGACATGTGGGCTGTGTGGAGGAGAGGCCGTGCAGGCGGAGAAATGCCCTTCCTCCTTTATCTCACCTGCCAGGGAAGACCTGGAGATGATAGGGAGGTGCCACCAAAGGTGGCGTGGATAGGCCCTCAACTGCTTAAGTGAGAATTTGGGAGGGACTCAAGCAGGGGGAGAAAAAGGGAAGAAAATGTATACTGTAAGCTTAGCACTCCTGTGGCTTCGCCTTCCTGCGGAGAGAGCCCCAGCCTCCTGGCCCTGAGAAGATGAGGTGAAACCTGGCCATCTGATAAGGGGCAGGGTAACGTATGGGGGACGGGGCAGGAAGAACCGAAAGATGGTGAGTTTCGGGGGACAATAGCCGTAACCTTTTCTGTCTTTGGCTACCCCTTCTGTCCCCTGATGTCACATACTTATCTTGCACTAATAGTCCCATTGCTCCATGGCTGGGACTTTCTACTGTTACTGCTGCTGCTGCTGATTCGCCAGTGGTGCGTTGGATGCTCGGGTATTAAACCCAGTCTGTGAAGAGGGCTCAGCGCAGCGCCTTTGCTGCCTGGAGAAAGGGCAGCACTCCGCAGAGCCTGCCTACCATGCTGTGAACGAAAGCGCGGCATTTGGAGCTGCAGGACCCACATGGTGGGCTCTGTGAGTGCCAAGAACGGTTTGGCACATGCAAAGTGGGACCCCCCCCCCCAAACCCCCCGGGCCTTGCCCTTAGGCAATCAGAAGGACAGGGTGGTTCTGTTTATGGGTTGTGGCTCTTTCTCAGTCCCGCTCAGGCCTTCTGCCCTTTAGAAAAGGCACATAGGAAGCAGGCTAGGGCTGCAGTGGGACAGCTGGAGTGCCAGGCTTCTCTCTACAGCCATAGATTCTTGGAATTGTGCTGGAAGGCCAGAGCCAGTCCCAGCAGCCCTCCTGCTCTGTTTCTGAGGACTGGAAGCCCCCTGGGCCTTCCCCCCCACCTCTGCGCATCACCTCCCTCCCAGGTCTAGTGCCTTGTGTTTGATGTCTGTTACCTCCTTACCATCTGCCTTAAGGGAGAGGATAATGCTGTGGGGAAGGGGAGGGAAGAGGGCCTCAACTCAGCATCGTAGGAAACAAAGGCTGTTTTCCTGTTGCCCAAGAGCCAGGGAACCACACTCTCGTCCCTCAGCTCTCTGCTCCGTGACAGGCTAAGGACTGTCCGTGGCCTTCCGCCTTGGTGCTTGCCGGCAGAAAGGACAAGCTTCCTGTGCTGCAGTGTGCTTGGGAAGGACACCGCACTGTCCTGACTGTGTCACGGTCTCAGCAGCCCAGGTTAGTGGAGGTCACAGCCTCACTAGAGAGGCTTCTCCCTGCCTGGGGACCGTGCAGCTGTAGTCCCAGCACTCGGGAAGCTGAGCCATGAAGATCAGGCGTGCAGGGCTAGCCTAGGCTACTTAACAAGATGCTGTCAAAGTAAATAAACACAGGAAAAATCTTTTCTGAGTGAATTGAAGGTGCTCTATTGATGCTTTGCAAGTATGAGTTGGCCCTCCTAGTTGCCTATGACCTAGGCAATTTTTTAATTTTTATTTTTTTCAGGATTTTTTTAAAAATTTTATTTTATGTTCATTGGTGTTTTGCCTGCATGTATGTCTGTGTGAGGGTGTAAGATCCTCTGGAATTGGAGTTACAGACAGGTGTGAGCCACCATGTGGGTGCTGGGAATTGAACCCGGGTTCTCTGGAAGAGTAGCCAGTGCTCTCAACCACTGAGCCATCTCTCCAGCCCCCATTTTCAAGATTTTATTTTATGTGTATGGATATTTTGCCCGCATGTGTATCTGTGTACCATCTGAGTGCCTGGTGCCCATGGAGGCCAGAAGAGGGCATCAGCTCCCCAGGAACTGGAGTTGCAGATGGTTGTGAGTCACCATGTGGGGGCTGGGAATTGAACCGAGATCATCTGGAAGAGCAGGCAGTGTTAACCACTAAGCCATCTCTCTAGTACCCCATTTAAAAAAAAAAAAGTTTTAGACAGGTTTAAAGGTGCCTTTAACCCCAGCACTCCAGAGGCAAAGGCAAGTGAATCTCTGTGAGTTCAAGTCCGCCTGGTCTGCATAGTTACATGGTGAGGCCTTGTCTCAAAAAAACAAAAACAGAAAACAAAAATTAAAGTTAAACTTTTTCATTTAAAGTGTGTGTGGTGTATGCATGCCACGTGTAGGTCAGAGGGCGGCTTTCAGTGGTTGGGTCTCCCCCACCCCATACCATATGGAGTCCTCAGGCTTGGCAGCAAGCACCTTTACTCACTGAAAATTTGTATTCTTGAAACATTACACCATTAGTGTGAAAAGTACAGTAGGTTTAGAGTAGAGTCTTTCAAAGCGTGTGTGTGTTCATCAGTCCAGAGCTCAGTGACCTGTTTGAATGTGCAGATGACAATGATCCCTTTCCAGGACACGGATGACGAGAACATCCACACACCAACATGACTCGGAGCCCATGTGACTGAAGACAGCAACACTAACTTGGTGGATTTTCAGATATCTTTATAGATAGATTCCCATTTTGCAGAAAGGGAAACTGAGGCTTGGAGCAGAGGGTAGGAATGCAGTGGAACCAGAGTCTGCAGGCTATGTAGATTCTGATTAGCAGACCCAATTCCTGTTGCTGGAGGAAAGGGTAACTGTTGCAGAGGCTGAGCTCAGGCCTCCAGACCAAGATGCAATTACATCACCCAGTAAAACTGCACAACTGAATTCAGGTCCTGTGGGCAGGAAACAGGGGCATCTTCATTGCTCTTGAAGCTCTCCTGGAGGCTGTGGAAAGTGCTAGCTAGCCTGACTGGTCAGGGACAAGGTTTGAAGCAGTTCCAGACCCTGTTCCTGTGGAGACAGACAGACAAAGACAAAGAAAGGGCGGGACCTGCACCCAATCCACCAGGTGAAGTGAGCACAGAAGAGGGTCATTCAGCAGGTTCCCGCCAGCTCCGAGGGAGCCTTGTGGAGGCTGCTGCTGGCTCGTGCCGTACGGCAGTATCGAGCACTGTCAAACACCAAGTCGAAGCCACAGCTCTATCTTTTTGCCAACAAGCCACAACAGCCACGAACCACATTGGCCCTCCACCCCATCCCCAAAAACCTACCTAAAAACGGGCTGGGTGTGGCACACCTGTCATCATTGGTTACATAGGGAGTTTCAGTCTAGCCTGGGTTACAAGAGGCACAGACAGCAGAAGAACTGAAGGATCATCACTCCTTCAGAGCAAAGGCCTCAGGGCAGGCCTCACTCAGTCCCCCTCACAGTACGTGTACTGACTTGTGGGAGGCTCAAGCCTTTAACACATCACATCACTCATGGTGCATGTACTGTGGGAGACTCAATCATGTAACGTCACATCACTCATGGTACATGTACTATGGGAGGCTTACACATGCATCCCAGCACTCATGGTGTATGTACTGTGCAAGGCCTATCAGCCCTTCAAGAACTCCCTTGGTGTGGGGAGGGAGAGCCCTCTTACTCCAACTGCCAGAGGCAGAGAAGGTCAGTTGTGAGCCCGTGGATCTCACCTGGGACCTAGGCAGGGATTAAACAGGATTGCTGGAGGTCCTGGCAGCCATGGAGCCTGTCTTGTGTGCCCCGAAAGCAGTGATAAAAATGTTGATGACCACAGTAATGAAGACCAGGGTGGTGGCAGCGTTGTTGAGCTGGTTTAGACGCCATTGGTTTGCTACCTCATTCAGGTTCAGCCTGGCTGTGGAGACCAGGGGATCAGGGTGGGTCGGGGGTTGATGTAGCAGGGCTGAGGCCTGGAGCTTCCCTCTCTCCACCCATGAATTTGGAGACAGCATGGCTTGAGAGACCCACCAGGAAGAAATCACTGGACTGAAATGTGTTTGGGTCTTCTGACCAGCACATGAGGCATCCCACATGTGCTTCACAGAAAGGGATTGGGAGCCAAAACATCGTCTAAGAGGGGAGGTGTGCTTGCTGTATAGAAGACTGCCACCAGCTAGTGGGGTCATCATTCAACAGCTGTCAAGGAGTGCCCACCCATGGGATATGAGGAGAAAGAGGTGCCCTCACTGTAGCTTCTGTTACTTGGAGATCTAGAGAGGGCTGGCTCTGTTAGGGGTCTAGAAAGTTTCATGTGGGATGCAGGAGCCTTTCCAACCACCAGGGGGCACCAAGGCGTCTGACTGCAGGCTGGGCTCCTTACCAATGACCACAAGAAGAATGCCAATGACTACTTGCAGAATCAGAGAGAGACTGATGAGGGTGATGAGGGTGGTGTAGTACTCTAAGGACGGCCCCTGCTCCAGCACCACTTTCAGCCGCGTGGCATTGGACATAAAGAGCGCCACATCCAGCATGCTCTCTGCCACACTCTTCTTGGTGGCATAATGGTTCAGGTTGAGAGGTTGGTTCCCCCGGGGGTTGGCATGCCCGCGCTGTAAGAGAGGAGATTCTGTTAAAGGGGCTGTGAGGGATTGGAAAGAAGAAAGGAGTTTTAATACACTTCCCACAGGAGATGGAATGTCCTCTTGGGTGACAGTGATGGCCTCCCTGCTCAGCTTATGACCTGAAACCAATGAAGGGTAGGATGGATGAGCAGGTGAGTAGTAGACGGACTGTTGGATGAACGAACTGGTGGCTGGAACCTCTTTGGACTGCTAAGCTCCGAATTAATTAATGCTGTATTGTGCTATCTACTTCACAGAGAGCCACTAGTCCCTCACACCTTCACATAGTCAGATGAAGAGGGGCAACAGAAGGAGGGCTGAGTGAAATGGAAATGATACTTCCTCCGGAATGGCTGGCCCTACCCTAGCCAGTGCCTAGATCAAGAGTTCTAGAGCTTCAACCCCACTCCAGCATGCCCTGATTGGCAAACATGGGCTGTTAGAAAACTCATGTTCACAGCAATGCATACTAGTTGAAAGCTCTTAATTTCAAAAATTGTTCTTGGAAGACTGGAGATGTAGCTCAGCAATACAGTGCTTCACAGCATGCCCAGTCCCTAGTTTCGATTCTTGCCCTGCTGAAATAAGTTATTATTATTATTATTATTATTATTATTATTATGTTTTTTGTTTTTCGAGACAGGGTTTCTCCATGTAGTTTTGGTGCCTGTCCTGAATCTTGCTCTGTAAACCAGGCTGACCTCGAACTCGCAGAGATCCACCTGGCTCTGCTTCCCAAGTGCTGGGATTAAAGGTGTGTGCCACCACTGCCTGGCCTAAATTATTTTCTTTTTATTATTTTAAAATATAATTATTTTTGAGGTATAAAATAAAGATCTTGTTCTCCCTAAGCCACTAATTCCAAAAGATGAAACCATAATATAGGCCGTATAGGAAAGTCAGAGGGGATGCTACGGGACCTCTGTAGTCACTCAAGAGGACTTCGGAGATCAATTTGGCAATGGTGCTTCGGGCATATGGAGCTAGAAGATACCAGAAGCAGGGAGACTATTGTGGTGTGATCTCATAAGGCATGACGGTGACCACCTGTAATCCTAGAACTAGGAAGGCAGGGTGTCTTAGGTTTCTATTGCTATAAAGAGACACCATGACCATGGCAACTCTTATGAAGGAAAACATTTAATGGGGTGGCGTACACTTCAGAGGTTCAGTTCATTATCAACATGATGGATTCATGGCAGCATGCAGGCAGACATGGTGCTGGAGAAGGAGCTGAGAGTTCTACATCTTGATCTATAGGCAACAGGAAGTGAACTGAAACCCACACTAGGCATAGCTTGAGCACAGGAGACCTCAAAGCCCACCCCCACAGTGACACACTTCCTCCAACAAGGCCACACCTGCCAGGCGGTGGTGATGCACACCCTAATCCCAGCAGAGGAGGCAAAGGCAGGCAGATCTCTGAGTTTGAGGCCATCTTGGTCTACACAGGGAGTTCCAGGACAGCCAAAGCTCCACCGAGAAACTCTGTCTCAAAACAAAACAAACAAAAAACAAAATAGCACCCTAACACACAATTGTTAGAAAATAAGTTAAAGTCCTTGGCTCCCCTTGAACCTCTACGCTAGAGCAGTGACTACTACCTTGGGTTGCTGGCTTTTTTTTGTTTTCAGGGAGGTGAGGAGGAAGTCTTTGTTTGGTTCCCCCCAGCACGCTCCTCTTTCCCCTCAACACACTCCTCTCTCAGTTCCTGTGCTGTGCTCTTCTAGTGATAATACTTACTTTGTAGCGACGGCTGATAACATTGTATCAATAACTAAAACCGCTAGAAGCCGCCTGGGGAAGGACCAGGGAAACTCAAAGGCGGTGAGCCTGTGCCCAGAGCTGTTTTAAAGCTAGAAGTCCACAACAAAGGCGAAGCTGTCTTCCTTAATGGTAAAGCACTTTATGAAACTCACATCTACAAAACGATAAAGTCAATTCAAACCCCCAAAACTAAAAAATAAAATTGAAAACCAAAACCCAGAGGCTGGAGAGACGACTCAGCTGTTAAGAGCACTTGCTGCTCTTGCAGAAGACACAGGTTCGGTACCTAGCACTCATGTGGTGGCTCACAACTGCCTCTAACTCCAGACCCGGGGGACCCAGTACCTTCTTCCAGACTCCCCTGGGAGCCTGCAAGCACATGGTGCATTTACATACATGCAGACAGACAGACAGACCACTCAGATTTTATATATGAAACAGTCTCACTACCTAGTCCCTAGCCCCTGCTGTCCTCAGACTACCTATGTAGGCCAGGCTGGCCTCAGACTCACAGGAATCTACCTACTTCTGCCTCTGGAGTGCTGGGATTGAAGGCATGGGCCATCATGCCCTGCCAATCTTTAAAAAATAAAAATAAAAATAAAAATAAAAACCCAACCCAACACCCCAGAGAGAAAAGAAAAGTTCCAAGTCATCGTCTGCTCTGTAAGTTTGAGGCCACCCTGGTCTTACACACCCTACCTCCCCACGAAATCAGACGAGGGCTTCCGAGCCTAGAGAATAATGGAGAGCTGTAGACATAGAAGGCAGCCATGGGATATTCCTCTCTCTCTCTCTCTCTGACTTCTTTCCCCACTGGATTTTTCGGGGGCCTGGCTTGCAGCCAGTGCTGAGGGTGGGAAGGATGTAACAGAGTGTGGGGAGGACCTGTTGGATCTGGGAAGGCACCCCCTCACCCACAGCTTTCAGAAATGAGGTCCAAGCAAGTCTCTGTGTGGGGTCAGGGGGCCTGGCTAGTGAAAAGCCAAGGATCTCAGGACGAACCCCACAAAGGCCAATGGTCACTTGGGACACAAGGTTATAAGGCAGTGCTGGCCCATTTGATGAAGGTCCGTTCTGAGTCACTAAGAACAACAGATGGTTCCCCAGATCAACATTCTCCTACGCCTGCCCCCCCCCCCCACTGAGCTGATACCCACCTCCTCCCAAGGCCGGCCTTACCCATCCTCCAGTACCTTGCTCCTCCTTCCAAATGCAGCTCACTTGTGGATCAAGAGTTGCTAGACTGGGCTAGCTCTAAAACTTGCAGTGGGCAAGCCTTAATTCAAATCTAGCCCTGTGTTTGAACATTGACCGTAGATGAGACTAGGCGGATAAAGGGGTACTGGAATGGGTGAGTACCTGGGAAACAGATCTTTCTAAATCTCTGCAAAACGTGTAATTTCTCATTTTTTCCTCTCCCTCCCTCCTTCCCTCCCTCCCTCCCTTCCTCCTCTCTTCCTGGTGTTTGTCTCTTTATTACCAGGGCTTCACACGTCCACATCATGCATTCTGCCATCGAGCCCCACCTCCAGCCTCCCAACCTTTTGTTACTGTCTCTTTAAGAGCCTGTTTTACCGAGGATGTGGGACTCACTGTAGGAGGTGTAGGCCTCTCTGAATTCAGGTCTCTCGCTTTCATTTTGCTTTACTGAGGCTCCTCTCCAGAAGGCCAGTTCTCCTGTGTCCACAGGGTGGCATGCGAGGTTCAAAGAAGCTGCTTGGGTACTGGGTGTCAGGTTGACATTTCAGCCCCAAGAAAGTGCCCACCACCATGTGACAGGCTGGGATTGTTGAGGACCTGAGCCAACACAAGTGAATAGCCTAGAACTTTCCAGACACAACTCTGAAGGGACAGTTAAAGAAAACCAATGCTAGCTAACCTGATGCTATTTATTGCCTGTAATGCCAATACACGGGAGGCTGAGGCAGGAGGAATGTGAATTTCAGGCCAACCTGGGCCACATGGCAAGATACCAAAACAAAACAAAGAAATATAAAGAAGCCGGGTCTGGGTGGGGTGATAGGTGTGGGAACTGCCTTGGTCCTGGAGCCCGGGACAGAAGGAGTGGTCAGAGGTAGCTGCTGTGAGACCCTGGAAGAAATTGCTTTGAAGAGGGTCCCCTCTTTGGACCTTTGCAAGTGAGGAAAAGATTTTTCCAGCCTTCCTGGACCTGAGGATGGGATTGGCTGTTCCCCTAAATCCTACAGTAGAGCATCCTCTTCTCCTTAGCTCCAAGCCCCCTAGCAACCGCATCAGAGATCTGGCTAAGGGAGGGGCACAGGATGACAGCCAGTGGTGCCTCAGAAGATCTGGCCCTTTAAGGTCAGAGCACAGGCGGGTCAGAACAAAGGCCTGGGAATGTGGGCTGGATCAGGGAGCAGAGCCATCCAGCATGAGTCATTCATGTTTCATGGACTTAGAATTCCTGGCTCCTACTTGCCTCGGCCTTTCCCATGGCCACGGGACAGCATGCAGGGCCTGTCTGCAGAGCTCGTACCAGGTGACTGGAGGCTCCTATCCGACTCAAGCCGTGCTAGGGAGGGGGGTTCATGAGCCTGGGCTCCCGGCTTTGGGGCTCAGTTCTACCCAGAGTGTGGGTGCTCAGGTTCCTGTTTACAGAACAGGGGGAAAACCAGGCCCCTGGAGGAGAGGCAGAGTGACTCTTCTTCCCCAGAAGTAAAGACAGAATCCAAGTTGTTCTCTTCCTTTCCTAGTCCGAAATCTGTCTCACAATGCCCATCTCTCAGGGTCTCACATAAGGGCTGCTCCCCTTAGTCCTGTGTTTTCATTCAGTAACGGCTGGACCCTGAGTCTAGGGTCCAAGAGGCCCTGTTCAATGTGCACAGCCCCAGAGACTTCTGCCAGCCGGGGATGCCTGGGAACCTGAAGGCCACTGAAGTTGGTGTGAGTTGGAACAGGGGGGTTGCAGAGGGGGTAAACTCAGGTCCATTCTGGGCCCAGAGCACCTCTAGGACCTAAGAGTACGTGGGTTTGGTGATTGGAGCGGGTAGGTAGAGGGTGAGCACACCAAAGATCTGATTTTGAGGCCCTACCCGACTCCCAAGACTGGGGATCCCACCCCTTCAAGTCAGCTCCCATATCGAGCCCTTCATCGTCACTGTTCTGTGTTCCTGCTTCTTTACAAAGCTAAGGTGCTCAGGAAGGGACTGCCTTTTTTAACAGAAAAGTAAACATGTTGTCACGTTGTTTATTGACAC